TTAACGTCTTCGTTTTATTATCCTGAATACACCGCAGTTTAAAAATGTGAACAAATAAAACGAAAGCCAACTTGATGTTGCCTAGACGACACGCCTTAATCGGACTTAATGACAAACTTCGGCAAAATATTCCACTCCTTTGCTGTACGCATTACGAACGACGTAAAACAAAACAACACACGTACCAAAACGAGAATAAACCTTCTTGACCGATGTAAATGATGGTTGGTATTGTCAATGTAAGTTAATGAACTCCAGGTGACAAATTCATGGGAATTAATAAAAACAAGTGGGAATTAAGTTAAGTGGTTTTGAATCTAAATTACGGTTAGTTTTGTAATAACAACGGTCTGAAACATTTACTTTTATGTAGAGGGAAAAATAGTTTTTGATTAATTTCAAAATCTGGCCGTAACTAAAGCTTTTTTTCCTGCTCAGTGAATCGAAATGGATCTTGGCCGCATCGAAAACTGGGGCATCGCTGTTTATTTATATATAAAAGTAAAAAAGAAAAGTAACAGCCTGTACATGTCCCACTGATGGGCAAAGGCCTCTTCTATACAGAGGGTATCAGGTCATAGTCCACCACGCAGCCCCACTGCGGATTGGCGGACTTAACATATTTTCAAAATATATTTTTTTTGTTATTATTTCGAAAATATGCAGGTTTCCTCACAATGTTTTCCTTCACCGCGGAGCACGTTATAAGTCAGCACTTAAACTTAAAAACTTCATTGGTGTCGGCACCGGGGATCGAACTCAGGCTGCTCGAGTATATTGAAATAAAGGCGAGCGCCATTTGTACATATGTTCGTATAATATCATCTTGCATTTAAAACCTAAACTGTTAAATGTCAGACAGGCTACAGATGGCGAGCTGGCGGGTCACCTGACGGTAAGTGACAACCACCATCCATGGACATTTGCAACACCATTAGGTTTACAGATATATTGCCACCTTTTAATAAGTGGGTCCCGGTTACCTCACCGGTTCTGCGAGGTCATGGAACTCCCCCGGGAGAACCTGCCCATTCGTTCCACAGCGAAGACCGTTGCGTGGCCGTATGTGATTGTTTTCATTTGTTTTTCGTCCGAATGTTATTTTACGTTTACACATTTTTTTTTAAAAATCTATTTTGTTTAGGATGCGTTATTTTGTGTCTCCAGAGCTCATGTTTTTATACGCATGAATCAATCTGAACAATGTGAATGAATCACAATCTGAACTTTAAGAATAGAATATTGAAAAGGAAATATAATGGACTTAATGGACTTAAAGGAAATATAAGGGAATAATGACCATTACTTTTATTTTAAACAGGGCCTGATTGATAAATCATAAAACCACTCTTTATTTTGTTGTATGTATATTAAAACTTATCTATTTATTGTTTAATATTATGTAGATTAAAAAGCCTTGTAATAGAAAGCTTCTTCACTGTCAGATTCATAGCTTTCGACGCTGATTGTACTTGGTACAATAAACTAGTAAATGTGGGTTTAGTATGGTGAGCAACATCATCCATTGCTTTGACTATCCGGTAATATGATCACGTTTTACTTAATCACCGTTAACAGTCAGGTTAACTTAAGTTAACCTGACAGAGAACTGTAATATTATACTGTTAAAGTATTCTACTAATATTCTGGTATAGCTTTGTAGGTTTTACTGTGGTTTCACCACAGGCTCGTTCCAGGTACGACGGCCTCACAGAAGATCGTTTGGAGTGAAAGTTATAGTTTCTTTTTAGTGAGGTAACCGGGCCCTAACTTCTTAAAGGCTGGCGACGCGTTTGCAACGGAGTGGATTTCCTTGTCTGGTTTGATCAATACATCATCATCATTATATATATGGAGACCATTGCTTAACATAGGCCACACACTGCCAAGTTGTATATATCACTATCATTTCAGCCTGTTTGAGGCCTCCTCCACAGACTACCACAAAGCACGATCCTGAGCCAACTGCATTCATCGGCTTCCCGCATATTTGCACGGGTCGTCCCAATCTAGGACGCCCTTCCTCAACAACATATTAGTACGTCTGTACCCGTAAATAAATATTTCATGTTTTTTTAAAACGTCTGCCGCAACTTGTCTTTAGGAAAATAATGGCCAATGAATTAGTACCTGTGTGCTCATTGGTTATTTCTTATAGGACTCATTTTAAAAAAAGTATTTCTCAGAAGCTCTTGTATTAATTTCCTCGTGATTATCTTGAAGAAGGTGACTTATAATTCGGATTCACGTAAGTTATTATCTGTAGCAATTTTGTGTAAACGTTAATATACATATTGTAAGATAGGAGGGTAGTAGCACACTGCGATGGCCCGGAAAAGGAGCAGCGCTCGTCGTGTTCAGGAATCCATCGACGCCTTTAGGCTGCGGCCATCACCATCGGTGATTGGTTCCGGCTTTGGAGGATCAAGATCAATCCCGCTAAAAGCGCGGCCGTCTACATCTCTCATCGTCCACCTAAGCGCCTAGCGAGCTTGGCGGCCTCCCGAACCGGTGATAATAATAGCGTGAAGGCCCGAGCCGAGCTTGGTCACCATAACGCGTAATAATAATAATAATAATACGCTGAGGTTCAGGCTAGGCGCCCCGAGCGCCCGGCCAACTCAACTCCGGCGATATTACATTTTACAATATATTAATCGAATATTAAATAATGTGTATTTCTATTTCAGAGCCTTTTTGAAATATGGAAAATGTAAAAGTGAGTACATTCTAAAATAATAACAATTTCGTGTTGATAGTATGACTGTGGTAGGGCCACGCGGCAGTCTTTGCTGTTGCATGAATTCGCTCGTCCGGGCAAATACCAGGATCTCAGAGAAGACCGACGTAGAAGTGCTGTACTTCTCGGTTTCGTCTGGTGAGTGAGGTAGCCGGGGCTACTTTGGTTTTGGCAAGTGCTTAGCAATTAACAGATGTGGACCGCCAGCTCGCTTGTCACTTTCTCACACAACAATGCTCGTTTAAACCACACTAGTGCTGGCAACATTTTTTTTTATTGATCTAATATTTACAAGATTAAATCTATCCAAAATTACATATTATCTAATAAACCTAATCCAACAATGGCAACATTTGATGAACATTGGTTGAATGCCGTATCAATCTCGTGGGATTGATGACACGTTATAGACTACGAATTGAAAACATTACTCCGATAAGATTCAGAGAACTTAATTAGTAAGATAATAGTGGAACTCGGTGTTTGGTCTACATTTGTACATGTATGTCTACTAGTGTAGACACATACTTTACAACAACGGTGTTAAATTGGGTATTTCAACTTGTAATAAGCTGTATTCATTTTCTTAATAAGCTTTCTTAATATATATTGTCGTATTAATTAACTAGTTAAACGATATAATTTGCACTGTTAAAAGTAAAAAATAAGTGTATAAGGTACTAATTACTGAGGTCACTAGGTGCCCTGTTCTGTCATTTTCATGCTCATTAGAACATTATAGTTCTACAAATTTATGTTCTTTTCTAGACGAATATCAGAATAAATCCTTATTGTTAGGTGAAAAGGTGGCAACGCGTCTGCAACCCTACGGCTGTTGCAAATGTCCATAGGCGATGATTATAGCTTAACATCAGGTGAACTGCCAGCTCGTTTACCATTTTCTCACATAAAAAACCCGCTAAAAGTTTGTCAAGGAGCCTGAAAACGACGTAAGCAAGGCCAATATTTATACTCAATATACCTCGGTTGTTAATTCTTAACTGAAATATATTTTAAAATATTTAGAAAAAGTACGAAAAGATTGTTGCCGCTGTGGGAATCGAACCCTTCGGCATTCGCGGCCTGACGCTCTAGCCACTGAGCTAAACGGCTGATAGCCACAACGACGACAATCTTAACGCCTTCTTTCTACATTGTTATTTAGCATTTGAAGCAATGCTTGGCGCATCTAGTGTTATATTTTTTATGGTGCTAATCTCTCCACTTAAGATAAATATTAAAATTTGTATAAAAGAAGGATGAAAAGTTTTTCGCAGCCGGGTAATCGAACCCAGTTCGCGCCCAGACTTTAACCCCTAAGGTATACATACGGCTAATTGCCACACAGAGGAACAATCTCAACTTCTTTTGTCAACATTGTTTTTTTCACATTTCAAGCAATGCTTGGCGCATATTGTCTATGCGTCAAGGCTAGGCTATATATATGTCTATATTGGCTATGTGTTTTTAAGCACTAATCTCTGCACTTAAGATAAAACATTTTTGCAAATTTTGATCATTACCTGAGCCCAACTTTCTCTCAGGTTCGTAAATTCATAGTTTTGAACCTTCTTTGGGTTTTTGCATGTGGTTTCAGTTTGGTTTTAGTTACGTTGAATGTAACTACTTAACTATTGCGTAGCACTTCTTGTATGTAACTGTGTTTGTGTAATGGAATAAGGGGCATAAATGAAAGATTTTGTTCGAAAGTTATAGTTTATATTAGATTTATAATAAGATATGTAGTCTACAAAATTTCACAAATTTTCACAACGTTATTTGAACCTAAAGCGTCTACCCATTTTATTATGAAAATAAACTTGTAAAAACCACTGGAACTACTCACGTACGCCGGGGGCCGATTTTACGCAACCATTATTTTTCAAAATATAATCTAATAGGCAGTTTTCATTCTCGCGTATCTTAACATGAGTAAGTCAAAAACTAATAACGGTAAAAAAATAAAAAAATATCAATCCATAAAATCCGCCCCCCGTCAAACCAAACAACAATGTCGTCCCATACATATACACAATAATATTTATTATCGTTATAATTAACTAGAGTTATACAGAATAATGATTCCTATGAAATATAATTATGCATTCTTTAAATTTATTCAATATAATAATAATAATAATAATACTTAATAAGTATCAATAGGTAATGGTTAGTCAATGTCGTGCTACAGACTACTATAGTTTAATAATAATGAATGAATCGTATTATTTCTTTATCATTTATTACTTTAATTTTATTACTCGATATCATAACCACTAAACAGCCCGCGGCAGCCTCGGCTAGCGCCCGCGCACTCCGCGCCCAATTTCACTACCACCCACCCCGAAATTTCCTCTAAACACCCCCTCATTTCCCTAATCAACCCTTCCTTAAACACTTCGCCACTAGCCAGTGCGTCCGCCTCACGCCGTCGAGTGGGCGCGGTGGCGCCGGCGCGCATCACAAAAAAACATCGTCAACACATAAAATAATAATCAATAATAATAATCATACAGATAAAAATCATTCATAAAAACATTACAATAAAAATCTAAACATTAAAACACACTTAAAACAAACATTATATTAATATTATCATAATCATAGTGTGTACGTATGTATAATATCATTTAAGCGAATAGTCGTATAATCAAAATAATGTGAGCATGGCGCGCGGGGGAACGGCGCGGGCGGCGGTCGCGATGACGCGACACGACACGACATGACGCGACATGGCGCGGTGCGGTGTGACACGGCGCGGTGCGATGCGGTGCGGCGCTGCGCGGTCCGGCACCGTACGGCACGCTGGCGTCGCGGTTAAAGTGCGGCGCGGTTGCGGTGCGACAAGTTGTGCGCAGCGCGCGGCACGGCGCAGTACGGCGCGGCGCAGCGCGACAGAGCGCGGACGGCCGCACGCGCATTACCTACAAACATTAGCTAGCCGCGCGGCGGCCGCGGCCCTAACACTAAGGCGGCGCCGCGGCGCCCGCTCCCCGCGCCGCCCCTTCCTCGCCTATTACATTATTACGATATCTTAATACTTTACGCTACTAAGTTAGGTAAGCTTTATAAATTTTTCGATTTTCCATTTACGCTATCAATAATAATTATACAACTTTTTTTAAATTTTATGCATTATTTTTCGAAATTCTATCGTAACGTACCTCCACTCTGCGGCGGCGAGCGCTGCGGGCGCTCGACGACCCAATAAAAAACGTTCATAATAAGAAAATATATCGTGAGTAACTCTGCCGACTTACGTTAGGTGCGGCGCGGCGGACGGGCCGTGCCGGCGGGGCGCCGACTTTTGGCACCAGGATTTCGATTACGCGACTTATACATTTTAATATTTCCGTAACGATTTAAGTAAAAAAAGGTGCGTCCGCGGCCCGCGTGGCGCGGCGCGTCGCTTACGAGAGGATGCGGATGGCCTGGTGGGCGGGCGCGGCGCAGGCGGGGCACGGCGCCGCCGCCGAGGCCAGCCGCTGCGCGCACTCGAGGCAGAAGAGGTTGTGGCCGCACGGCACCAGCGCCGCCGCCACGCCGCGCTCCGTGCACACGGCGCAGGCGCGCGCCGGCGACGCGGCCGGCGAGGGCCGCGGCGGGCCCCACGCCCACACGCCGCCCGCGCCCGGCGACTCGAACGACGGCGACTCGCCGAGCCCCTCGTCGCGCTCCGTCGACGACCAGATGCCGAGCAGGTCGCCGAGCCGGCCCGACGAGCCGCCCGACGAGCACGAGCCGGCCGACGAGAAGGCCGCCTCGGGCTCGGGCCGCAGCAGCGACGCCAGCCCGGCGGCGCGGTACAGCTGCGCCAGCGGCTCGCCCTCGCCGCCCGTGGCGCCCGCCGCGCCCGCCCCGCCCTGCGCCGCGGCGCCCGTGCGCAGCGCGATGTGCGCCTCGATCTCTTTGCGCGCCGCCTCCACGCTCTCCGGCAGCCCGGTCACCTCGAACACGGGCTCGCGCTCGCGCGACGGCGTCACTATGTACGTGTGCGTGGTGTGCTGGATGCGCTTGATGGTGGCGCCCTTGGGCCCCACCACGAGGCCCACCACGCGGTACGGCACGCGCACCTGCGCCGTCACGTGGCCGGGCGCGCCCGCGGGCGGCGGCGGCGCCGCGCCGCACTTGCGCGACGCCCTGATCTGCGAGAAGTGCTCCGCGGCCGAGAGGATCTCCCTCTTGGCGCGCGCCACGTCCTCCTTGCGCCCCGTCACCACGAACACGGGCTCCTCGCCGCGCACCGGCGTCTTTATGTACGTGTTGGTCTTTGCGCGCAGCGCCTTGATCTTGCAGCCTGAAAGTAATACATAATGTAAGGATAATGAATAATTCACGGCCGCAAATGGGGCCGTGGCTGAGAGAGAACGCGGGGCGCTAGAGCTCAAGGCCCCTTTAATATGTTAGCGCTCGAGGCAATGTACGATGCCGCCGAAGGCCGTTTGGGTACATTCGGCCGCGGGGCGCGCGGTTCTCGCCCACCGCCACAAGCCGGCGCCGCGCCGCGGACGACGCATGTCCCTTATCCCTTATTTTCAGTCCTCTTTATAGGAAGCTCGAAATAAACGTAACCTTCACTTGTACGAAATGCAAGTACTTTCGGCGTATGCTTGGGTGAATAAATTGAAATTACGCCGAAAAAAGGTCCAAGTAATTCACTAAATACTACAATGTAAGTATTGAATTAGTAAGCAACTTTGCCACGTGGCGGCCGCATTCAGGGCACCCGTCCCGCTCGATCCAATGGGGCGGTAATATCGGTGTCCCTTTTGCGCGACCCCAATGCGGCAAAAACGTAGTGGATTGGCGTGCAGTCTCCACGGAGTTACGCTCGGGTACTTACGACCCCTCGATCAATATTATGATTGTTTTCTTCAGAGGAACGGCCTACACAGTGGACCCGGCTCGTCGCGATCTCTAATAATCTTCCTCAGAAATCCCTACACGCATTTTGTTATCTTTTTTCTTTATAGTGATGATATTATTATCAGAAATACGCGCTGGTTTGTCTCAATAAATAAATAAATATTGGCTAATGCTGTATTACTTACTACCTCACCCGATCTCACCCTCGCCCTCAACGTGAAATGGGAAAATGTCAATTTGTTATGGAGGACAGTGTTCTGAATCAAAGGTCAGATCCGAAATTCCATTTACAATAGACCGGAAGTTATGCTACGTATTGATATTACTACTTAAAATTAGTTTGGATCTTATTTATCTTTCATGAAAACTATAAACAAAATACTCACATAAATAAATAGCGCTGGCAAAAGATACCTGTGTACCTTTATTACGACATGAAAATCTCAGGTAACGTTATGTCACATGCAAAATTAATAATTAAATGCAGTTTCATTAGGAACCCTCTCTCCTGAACGAAGAAAAAGTCACAGTCCTTAATTGATACACTATGATATGGTAAAACTAAAAAGTTTAGCGTCCGCTACAAAATCTACGTTTATCGATTTTGCGTAAAGAAATGCTTCCCATAATGAAATTTAATATAACAAAGTACGCCTCGCATATATGCATGTCATATCAGCAACAAAAATCCGCTACGGTGTCCATAAATTAGGACGTGTGAGCGGATTGTTCCGTAAAATTCCGTGCGCCGCTCGGTGTCTACTCACGACGGCTGGGCTTGGAATGTTGCCAGCGCCGGCGGCCCTATCTCCCGCGCCACCCAATGTTATTGATTCCGCAACTAATAGGCCCGCACTTCAGTCTGAAGCACTTAATGCGACTAATAACGAAATTATGGGCGCGCACTCAATGTTGGGGCAATCAAGAAAGAACCTCACAACCTCTCTGAAAGCCAACTTAGAAAATAATTATGCACGCACCCTCGAACCAAAGTGGACGCTCGATTTGGGGAAAAAATAAAAGGTTGCTTCCCCTAAATATCGAACATGAGAAAATATTAACAAAATTCATTACGAAATAAAGATTAGTAACCCATTGTAGAGCTTCCTAGAATGCTGCTGAAACAAAACAGGAGGCCTACAATGCCGCAGTACATTGTCAACGGAAAGTATAAAAGCGGTCTAAATACCAACACCTACTTCCGCTTGAGAGCCGCCCGCATAATCAGGGTACGCTACGTCGTCTACGCCGCTACGCGGGCAGTGCACTCTACGGCGTAGCGAACCGGGTCACTGCGCCTCCCACCCCCGACTAGGTTAGTGCTACGCAGAACTTGAGTACTTTTTATGATTAAAATATTCTTTTTTTTTCTATATTTTAACCTGGCACGGTTTATTACTTAGATACATGCTTACTAGTTTTCTTTCACTCCGACGAAAAAGTTATGAAAAATTATGTTTAAAGGTAATATTCATTTCACAATATTTCATGCAAAACTCATCAAAAAGTATGGATTTGTACAATATATATTTTTTACACAGACAGCTGAAAAATTTCATGCCAGGGCTAAATTATCCGTGTAATCGTCGTCGCACAATTATTTAGCCAGTTATATTAAAGGCTGAATAAAACATACTGGAACTACCAAATCCTATTAGTATTGAAATATGTGTTATTACTTTCATAACTGAAGGCACATAATTAATTCAAAGATAAAAAAAATTCAAAGATAAAATTAGTTCGGTATAATAAACGTTAAAGATCCATTCTCAAGTACCAGGGTGTCAGAGGTGTAAAAGGTGTGTCAAGAGTAACAGCGTTGTTCGAAGAGGTCAGCGGGGTTTGATCGATACCTACTCTAGGATAATTAAGACACCTCCAATTTTTCTCAATTTTAATTACCGCCTCTATCTAATGGTGTGATTTTTAATTGAGAGTCTCATTAAAAGTTTTTTTCTAATGAAGGAATGACCTTGAATACCAAATTCTATAATTTTCGATAATGTGCACTCAAAACAAAATTTTAAAACGTGATCACACATATAACAGGTAAAGAAAGTCAAGTTGAACAATAACTAATCATCATAATTATCAGATTTGATAGATCACGAATCCTTGTAAACGTTCATCACTATCTGCGAAGGATAGTTTGCGAGGCTCTTGAAAGAAAGGATCATCCGTTCTACCATTTGCTTGGAAACCGATTATCAATAGAATTAGTCCAGATCCAAGCGTATCACCACTGCAAGAGACACAGCTAATGTTTACTGCGTGGATCGGTATATAATAAATAACTTTCCAGCTGACGGTAGCCCGGAATCAAGTAACACATCAAACATGTCAGCAGGCGCGAAGGCGGTTCACTTGATGCTAAGCGAATATCGCCGCCCATGGAAATAAGACCGGAAAGCTGCAGATGCGTTGAAAACCCAGAGGGAGCTTTAAGTGGGCCCCAGTAACCTCGATCACCAGAACAAACGTGAAAGTATAAAACTTCCCCTTCACACCGGTCTTCTGTGCTGCTATGGCATATCTCTGAACAAGCCTGCCCTTTCGTGTAGAAGCTGTAGGTAGCGTGGCCCTACCACAGTGGGTGTTGCAAGTATTTGAAACGTTGCTAGTTTGTTAAAAACAAACAACGTTGAAATCCATGAAATAGTCGTGCATTTTTTATTGTTTATGGTAAATAAGAGAAACTATAACTATGACTAAACTATTCTTATTCGGTCATGGTAATGGTATGATTTTACATTGCTTTTTTTCCACACACTTAAGACAACCAAGGCGGCTTTTATCGCGGCGAAAATAAATTATCAGTTTCTTCGGGGCCGGGAAAAACAAATCAATCTGCGAGGGCGAAGGAAGTATCGCGAAGGAAGTGCGGACAAGTCACTAGAAAAACATAAATCAGGCGAGGTAGCCATGACGACGGAGGCGGGGGCGGGAGACCACGCGGCGTGGAGCTTTCGGCGCGCTTTCCCGCGCACCCTAATTCTACAAACGTCCCTTTATACAATATAGAACGTATCCCGTTCTTGAATAGCAAGAAACGTCTTATCCGCTTTCATAGAAATGTACTTTTAATCTCAAAACTGAGAACACAGTCAGATACTGTCATCTGCAGAACTATTGGGCGAATGTATGAACAGATATGGTTGTAACGTACCAAGGTAAAACACTAGATATGGTTGTAATGTACAAATTTATATCAATAATGATTATAAACTAACCAAATCAAAACAACGTAACACCTCGTTCAAAACCTTTCCAACGAGTTCCAATTTTAACATCATGTTCTTTTCTACTAAATTCAGAACGGCTCGAACTTTAAAGCATTTGAATTTTGTAATCTCAGTTATCATAGTAACTTGAAAAGATTGAACAGTGATTCAAAGATTTCCAAAGGTGACGACGTCACTGTAGGAGGATGATGATGTCATCATAGAAATACCAACTATAAAACTAAACGTAACCGTAGGATAGTGAGTGGTCTAAAAAATGGAATTCTTTTCTTTTATTAGGGTATATTTATTAGAGCCACGTTTAATCTTCAATTATTCAATTGTATAGACATTAATTCCCTTCCAACCTTGGGTCACACCTGAATGTCTAGGGTCTTAAATCATGCCGTCAAATATATCCTCGCGCACGGAAATAGCTACGAAAAGGTAAAAAGTCTTCCGTCTTAAGTGGAGCGAAATGTCGCATGCGGTAGTGGCGGGGTTTCCTCGTGTGTGCGGCGAGCAGGGGGCTGGTGGCGCGTGGGGGGCGTCGGCGCCGCAGGGGCGCGCGCCCCCGCGATCGATAGCGGTCAACGACCCGGCGGCGGCCTGCGCCCGGTGCATTGGCAGCCCCCGCTCGCAATTTTAACCCACATTCCGCGATCCCGAAACCCCCGTGCCCCGCGCCGCTAATTACGCATAAAATCTTTCCGTAATACGTCGATTTGAATGCGCGCCGTGACCACCATCGCTGATGACGTATCTATTGTATCGTGATATATTTGCTTTTTTATTGTAAGTCTGGCGTTCATCCATACCGAAACCTATCCGCGCTTATTTCAACATCCTTAATTAGCTCCACGAAACACATCAAAGCTGTTTTTTGTTAAAACAAATCAATTGTAGTATATTAAGCCTTTTATTTATTCGATATTACGATACAGAGAAAAATTCGCGAAGTTAAAAAGTTGTATTCGAAATAGGGCGAACACTTCCAGCTCTTCCTATTCGGGGAAAACGCGGGCATTTCCCGGTGTTTTCTCGCGGCCATTGCACCCGGCTTACGTAACACCAGGGGCGCAGAGGTAGCAGGAGCAATGGGCGAGATCGAACGGCCCATCTCGCAATTCCGACGCATTGCAAAATCGACTTTGTAACAGTGATATACCGGCGATTTCCAAATGAACTGTGCAATGTGCGTTGCGGGCGAAAGATAGGGAAGGTCTTACTAGTGCGGAGGCAAGGGTTAGGCCGACTTGAAACTATACTTTGAAACCTGTCAGTTGATGTGACGTTCGAATAATAATCGAAAAACCATTCTGCTTTAAAAAAAACTTTACGCGATTATTGCAAGGTACTACGGCAGAGAGGCTGGTAAGGGTCTGCGTTGTAGACTAATTATAGACGTACACAGTATCAGAATGATATTTCTCTGAACCCCAATAATTTCCACAACTATACAGAATATTATTCGTTGTGGCCTACCGAGGGGAAGGCCGTTGTTCAACAGTGGATGTGATCGGGCTGATGATGTTGATGATGAACAAAATGGTACCATAGCAATATACGATACGGTAGAAGCACGTTAGCAGATTTGAATTTCAAATATTTGAAATTGATTTTTGCCCTTAGTCGATCTTGATATAACACGTGGATTTATTACAATAAACTATAAAACGGTTATAGAATAAGAATTTGAAATATACAAATTGCGCGCAGTTACTGTTTCATTTTCTATTAATGGTCCCAATGTATTTGCTGATCAATAAGACACCTTGGGGCGACGTGATAAATTTTACATTTGTTTGAGCGTCCTTCTTCAGCCGGATACCCTATTCGACTGGTGACTGACACGTGGCAACGGGGGACAACGGCGCAAGCGAGAAGGGTCACCCGGGGAATGCTTAAGTGCGAAAGGGACAGCTGGCGATTAGTTTCGATTTCTTAAGATAGACATCTGAGCGATGAAGGAGATTGGTGAGATGGGTCGCGGTTATTTTGGTATCTGTCCTTTTTTAAATGTTTCTAGTTAGGTAGATACGCGGGAAAGGCGTAGGACAGAGACGGGGCGCGGGGTTATGGAAGACGCCGAGTGGGCGATTGGAACTCATTTTCGCTTTAAACAATTGGAATTTATGCACAGATCTTTAAAATAATTCATCAATCATTACTAACTTTATCAATAAGATCATAGCTTTTCTTAAATTAAATTAACTCATCTTCAAAAATATCTTATTTTAATAGGATAAGACTAGATATAACTTTTGCCTTCGGACAAAACATATTGCAGACTGCAGGATGTCTGGAGGTTGTATCGTTTCACGAAAATCATCAATTTTAAAAAAAATCTTTGAGATGAAGTGTATTAGTACTCATCAACAATTGTCTTCAAAGTCTGGATGCCTGGATATTTACCTGCGAACCAAAGGAAAACTCAAATTAATAAAATATTAACGATAAACAACGTACACACATTCAAAACAAAACCGATTTCACTTTCATAATATGATATCAAAAATAAATATTATAGAGTCTAAACTGAGCCATATCACAAAATGACGTTAATGTAGAACCGCCAAATATAAAAATAATAACGACGACTCAACGACTTAGTGTAGTGGATAGTCCTTGCGTCATAGTTTGTAGGTTCGATCCCCACTACTGGAATAATATTGAGTGATGCACATTGTTTTTCTAGTGTCGAGGTGTTTATATATCTATAATATGCTTTATCAGGTACTTAGTATCCATAATACAAGCTTTGCTTAATTTGATACAAGATAACTTTGTGTTAAAATATGTTAAAATTATTTAATAATCTAATAATGAATCACATAAAGCCAGTTTTCATATTATAATAGCAAACAGACACAGACGTCGCATTTTGTACCCGCATTCCCATGGTAACTGTTTGTCATATTCCCTTTGCAACACTGTCAATTCATCGTTAATTCTATTTAATGTTAACGAAACCGACATAGGTGGATGCGGGGCAAGGTCAAGCGAGCAAAAACCTCCCAACATAGGCGGGCCGCGTTTCACGTCGCGGAGCCGTCACGTCGCGTTAAAGTGGACGCTTTTACGAGGGTGCGGTCCGGTTTATGCTCTCTCGCTGCGCAAGTTTCCCGGAATCCTTAATAAGTATTATTTGGCCCGGTGCATTTATGATATCCTAGTACCGGCAGGCGTTAATTATACATAAGTTAGGGCGGAGGAATCACCTAAAATATACATTTACTTATTTGTACCTTAAAAACATAGTAAGATAGTGTTTATTCTTATTAAAAATTGTAATGAATACAAAATTTAATATAAACATAATTGTTAGTGTTAATAATTCTTTCATGTATTTACATTTCTGACATAACTCTGTGTACATAAATTATAAAATAATAATAATAAATAATTAAATTATGAAGTCTTTCATAACCCTAAACCAAATGACAATGTGCAAAGGTCACCAGGAAGTTATAACAGACGAGGAGGTCAAACATCATTTTCCTCTTTAGGCCATTTTTGTTGTTGTTGTAAGGACATAAATCCGGTTTGCGAGCAGAATATTTTTAACGATGTCATCTAATATCAATCAGTGTTAGTTAGTGGCTAAAATAATTTTAGTATTAACTTTTTTGGCTAGTCCCTGCACTCTAGATGAAAGTTTAAATTGTGAATTATTTTTATTGATAAATGAACAAAAACTTTTGGCGTTGCTATTATCAATGTATAAATATAAAACTAATAAAATTTCGCATATTCTTTCTTACTCAAATTTATTAAATTCAAAGTGCTAAAAATTACGAAACTAATTGATTATTCTGCCATAATGAACCAACTGGTTTGTTATCACTTACTGCTATTTAAATAAAATCCAATCAGTCAATATGTTGTCGGTATGTGAAAAAGATTGCCTTAACACTTTATTTTGTGAATAAATTGTTTGACGGATAGAATACAACTACTTATAATGTTTAAAAACTCCCAAGAAATTGTTTAATCAAAAATGCGTAATGTTATGTGTGGATTGTATAATAATTTGTTACGTCACAACACGTGGCTAATTCATTGATATTTTAGACCGTAGGGAGCGCGTGAGTAGGCCGTTAACTCCGAATGAATAAATAGCCAATATATTATGCTGATAGATCGCACATCAGCCAAGGTTAACCCATTGAGTTATTCGTAATCATTCGACAAGGACACAAGCAAAGTTTTACTAACGACTCCGTGCCGAAAGAGATCCTAAAAGAAATTCTATGGCCGTTTTTAACCAGAACAGTACCACGTGGCAAGTTATTAGTGCAAAAGGCCGAAAGTATTTAAATCGCAATTTAATAAAAAAAAAACTTTTGACGTTTCAACTCTTTTCACGACGTTCTTAATTTGAACGTGTTCAGAATGCGATTAACGTAAATTTTAAACGTTACGTTTAAAAAAAAAAAAAGACCGAAATACATTAAAGATCGCAATGAAAGTGTTTTGATGGTTCATAAAAATCTCCATAAAACATGCGAGCTTTCGCGAAACGCTGAGCGGGATCATTCGATAGGCTGAATGCAGCCGTTTTTATACATTTTTTAAACCGTTTTGGCGAATTCAGGAAGGATCATGTCATTTAATATTTAAGGTAAGGTGAGACTAGGGATATGAAATATCCTTTATTAAATGCTACAAATTTTAATGCGTGCTTAAGGTAATGAACAAACGTTAGCCCTTGCATTTCGAAGTCAAAATTATCGTTTAGAGCTCGAGGCTAGTTTTTCAAATTAAATACGATTTGTTTATTCATTATTATTCCAGATAAAGAACGGAAGACAATAAACAAAATGACGGCGTCACAACCGCATACAGAAAATTTGATTTAACTCTATCAAAACCAGCGCGCATATTTTTTTAACTAAGTCTATCATTTTAACATAAGTATTTTACGTCTGCCTGTTTCGATCACTAGAAACGTCGCTAAGAGTTATAGTCCATGTTCCCGAGTAGGCACAAGACGACTCGGGGGCATTTGTTACGAATGATTAAATCTATATTTTTCGACACGACCGCCCAAACAAGTTGTTTTAGTCGTTACATAAGCATTCGAGGCACGTAGACGGCCTAGGCATTATAAAACACTATGTTTTGCCCGCGGCCCCACTCGCTTCTCTTCAATAAATCTATCAATAAACCAATCAATAAATCTATGATTCAACTGTAATTAATGCATGACATTCCAGATCTCTACTATCTTTAATTTTTGAGATTGAGCATTTTCCCGGGATAAAAGTTTTGATTTATTTATTAGTTCCCTTTTTTGTCCTTTTGGCAAAAGAAGAAAAACAATAAGAAGAGTCACAGAACTATTAGAAGTTTTCAAATAAAACAAACAAACGTATCAAAGGATATTAAAAAAATCGTTAAACTGGGTCGAATTCAAATTATAGAATAATTTAAATACTCATTATAAAAATAGTGAATAAATTAGTGAGTTGCGAAAAATCTTGGTTTTTGATGAGCATTAACTAACTAACAACGTCTTTCGATTGACAAAGAAAGCCGAAAAGTTGAATTACATTTCCGATACGAATTAACCATCTTGTATAAAAATAAATTATACTTTCTCAAATGAGATTGCTTGTTGAATTTATTACTGAATGTTCAACAAACCAAGTTCACGATGTAACACACGATCCTGTTAACCAACATCGTGGAGTCAAGGCCGCGGCGTAAAAAGGTGTATCCGTCAACACATTAAGCAAATTTGACGAGAGCCCAATAAATTCGTAAGCAGCGATAAGACATGCCGGGGCCGTACAGCGTAAGCTGGCGAATTAACCTTACATAATACACCTTGCACCCCTAACAGGCAAGCACTGACTACCTTATAAAGTAACAAACACGATAGGTTTACGAGCTTGTCGCCCCAAATTATGGGCATATATATGCACGCCTCTTCGATCTCAGATCGCGGTTCTAAGTCGGCTCTACTAGGGCGTCATATCATCGCGTAGCGTAAAGAAAATTATATTTACGAGGTATTCTTTGGGTGAACGCACCGACATGGCCCGCTTGGCCCGACGCCAGCTCTCACGGTAAACGCTCCTAATCACCGGGCTCTCGGACAGTTAGTATGCTCTTGGTAGCTTATAAACGCCTGGTACTTATTGAACAATTGCAACTAAAGGTTATTAAACTTCTACAAACATAATATAATTAATTATATTATATTCAATTATTTCTATAATAATTTTTATTCTCATTATATAGTATACTTAGAAATTTAAATAATTAAGTTAGTTGTATGTTATTTCTATTTAATTAAATAAATTAAAAATAAAAGGGGAAGAAAAAAGGCCATTGTAACCTATGATAGAAATGTGCAGATTAGGCATATGAAAGATAGAAATGTTTATTATACATACACATATTTTCATATATTCCGCAAAACACTGAGGTGAAATATATAATAACAGAAAATTAAAAATGAAGTTGTGTGTATAGGTGACGACAATAATAGCTTAAATTAAATTAGAATAGACTAAAACACAAAAATTACTAGTTCTCACAGAATATCGATAAATTCCTTAATAGTCGCTAAAATTTCTGTCGTTTGGGAAACAGTTAAGTTGCGCAAACTGAGAGCGGTTTTCATATTTCGGGGCAGATTTACATAACAGCGATAGTGGTGCGTTATCGGTTGATCAACCCGTACTATCTCGCGCTGACATAGACCTTACGTGCGACAGCGCACGCTGCAAGGATGCAATTTGATATACCAGAGTGAACACATACACAATGAGCCCAAAAATGCGGGATAAGCTGCTGAACTAATTTAAGACATTGAGAGTCACCGAGTAAACTAAAAACTATTACTTAACAAATTGAACAGATTCTGGCAATTTTTCAACTTTTGTGCTGTAATAAATACTTGAAACAAGCAATAGTTTTAAAAAATATTGTACTTAGACAAATAGACGTTACGAAAAGGCGGTTAGGTCATCATCAAACGTCCGCGGGACGTGCAAACTTGTCGCAGATATAGCGTACGGAATGTTTAGGTCACGACTGGCGGCGCAAGTTGTGCCGACGTCGCCGCAACCGTTCCAAGCTGATGTAGCCTCTATTGATACGCGGAGGAGGTTTGTGATTCGCATGCACTCAGCACCGGACGGAGTCGGGTAACAGGCGACCATTAGACGCTGATAAAGCCGAACGTTTGAATCCACGTTTCCGCCTAGGCTTGGGGGACGCGAGGTCAATTTTGCGAGGCTCGTACGCAGCGCTCAAGGCAATTGGTGAAACCACACACAAGGATCATTTAGTAACACATTGACGAACGTCCGTGCGTTCCCCACAATTAATGAAGCTCGGCGAGTGCGCTAAGTACGTGATCTGCCTTCAGACTACTGGCGCCGTCCTACACGTTAGCATGGTCTAACGTTAGCATTTGATAGGAGTTATTGTGACCTTTCGCTGCCTAAAGGAATTAGCAGTACATCGAGCAATATACACGCCGTGACGAGAAGAATTTAGAAGCGTAAAAATACAATTTCACTTTCGAATACAACTCGATGTTTCACGTCGAGATGCCGCATTACGAAAAGCTTAGACCCCGGGCGAAGAGGCGGCTCGACCTTGAAATGTCACCTTGATTAACCAGTTAACTTGGACGGAGATGCTATCGTGTTAATCTGACCGTTAAACCCGGAGCGCGCCTAAAACTTATTGCCTAAGAGGTAACTGGCCTCTTGGCTGCCGATGAGTCAGATCCAGCGAACCTAGAAACTCGAAACTTCGGCAGAATTGTTTGCACCACGCGGAGTTCTCTTAAAAATAATACTATAGTGACGTGACTAGTAGTAAAAACTCCGAGGCCGACACTACGATAGGGTTCCGTACGAGTTACGTAACGTTACCGAGAACTCGATATTGTATTTAATGATTAAGCAGAACGAAACCGATATAAAACGAAAAATGTCTTCAATTTATATTTGCATATTAATATATGTACATTAATCATACAAGACATAGAGTCCAAGCTCACTCTGGAATTGTTCGGTTTTAATACTGACACTAAACGACGTATTAGTTGTTTTTTTACACTAATACAATTTTTTTAAGTATATTATTTACCAACATATCATTTTTCAAACGTTCCTCATTCTGGTTGACTTTATGGTACAGAGTCACTTGTCATTACCTAACAGGAGAACATGAAGAAGATGTCTATAAGATATTTGAGGGTTTTAAAACATTCATGCAGAACTCTGTAAAACTAGTAAAGCGAGACATCCTTCTATAATATTCACGCAACATTTGTATTGAAAAAATAAATAAGATTCTTCACGCAAAATTCGCCATATTTTTATATTAAACACGTTCAAAAATTTATTGTATGTGCTAATAATGTACAGCGCCTCACACCAGGGATGCATCAAAAGTCAGGGGTCTGGCGTCAACGTGCCGAAAATGATTCTATTTCGGAGATCACCGCACGGCGCGTACTAAGCCTCTGTCTGCTTTCGGTCTCGTCCCGAAATTGCGTTACGTGAATCGGAAAAATTGTCTTAGCGATCCCGATACAACGGTTTATCGTAAGCAAACTTAGGGCGCTAGAGAGTTTTTTATACAAAGTCTGTTATAAAACGAGTTTCGATGCGAAGGATAAATTCTCGATTGATTTGGAAAATTTATCACGACTTGGGCGACGAGTGGTAGGATGAAATTTTGTGTCAATTTTTATTCATAGACAATATTATAAAACAAATAACTTAAAATAGTTAATTCACTGTCAATAATCACTAATATAATGGAGTAATTCTAATAAATTAATGAAGTAATTGTAAACGTCAAAAAAACTGAACTTTCAAACAGAAGAAGTTTTTTGAAGTCTTTCAGTGACCATAGTGTCGTTCGCTTCCGTGGACGGCCCTTATTTCGTTCTGTTCTGCGGACGCGATATTATAATCCTTTTCGCTAGAGTAGCCCCGCGGTCGACCTTGGCGCAGCAATGACCGCACTTCACCGCCGACTCTCGAGATTAGTTCGAGCAAGTTAGACAATGGACGACGTAAGTACAATCCCCCGCCAATTTTGCGCTTATTACATATTATATGTAGCAATATAATAAAATAAGTAACGTTTAAGTTGATCAAAGTAGCATAAGTATACTGAGTTATAACGAAACAACGGTTGACTATTAATTCAAAACAAACGTATTTTCGTCGAGCGTTACGCTCGAGCGCATTTATGGAGATGACTTATTAATGCAGTTTAATAGAAACTGGCTGGTAAGTATATTTATGATATTTAGTAAATATAGCGCAATAATACCTTTAATATTACTAAAATAGTACGCAGTATTAATTATATTTTATAAATAAAATACGCTGGGCGTTTTGAAATAATCATTTATGAGTTGATAGACATTGTAAGTACCAAGGCAACATAAGTTGTAGTGGGGGTTCATTTACTAATAACATTTTATTTATAGTTGAAGATAACGAGCGATGAACTGACCTGTGGCGATTCGAATCGCGGATGTTCTCGGGGCAACTTCGGAAAAATTATCACTCACGTAATTGAGGCAACATAACCCAAAATCGTCGGGACAACTTTGATGATTTGGCAAATAATTTACATTGCAATATCACTTTTTCCATACAGGCATGTTACAACAATATACACAAATATACAATGGATAATACATAAATGTATCGTATCGTTTTCATTTCTTTTGTCTGCAATAAATATGAATGTGTTTGTTTCATATAGTAGTATAAAAAAATTGATATGTGAAGAGATCAGTGCGTATCAGCTTTGAATCTGGCAAATAAAACCTAACATAATTATCTTCTGATATCCATCATGAAATTTTATCCCTCCATCATCGAGTATGGGGTGTTTTTTATTATTTTTTTACAGCAGCATATTTATGGTCCCTTTCATATATATTTCCAATTTACTTAATGGTTGCCTGATAGAGCCTTGGAATGATTATTGCAAAATACAACTTATTGTATTAAATCAATAATGTTAATTCCTAGGAGTAATAATACCTTAGCACATCAATTTGAATCATACATTCAACAGAATTTGAATATCCATCTTCTTTACAATGAGAGAGAGAAATAAACTAGATTTAAAGTTTAAATATCAAATAAGAAAATGTATTAAAGATATATAATTATGATAAGACGAGTTCGGTCACATAATCAAGTGTAAATAAGTATCGAATTGAAAGATTATATCGGCTAAGTGAATACTGAAGGAGGTACTTTTTCACTAAATCATATCAATCTTAAGAGAACGGTAGAGCTTAAGGCAAGTGTGTTTGCTTATAAGGATCAGATTTCTTTGTCAAGGGACTCAATCCTTTTCTAATCCTGTATGATAGATAAAATTTGATATAATTAATTAATTGTTCCGTAATATTATGTACATTTTGATGAACTTTTGAGGCGTCTTATCCTCACAGGGTAAAAAGTAGCTAACAGATTAATAAAGGATAATACCCGGCTTACTGAAGGAATCTTATTATTTAAACGTCCAGCTTGATAAAGGAATCTTACCATTTTTATTGGTCCACTTCATTGAGTTCAAACTCATGAGAATCACGTTGAAAGTACTGAATTATTTTCAGATATGATATAACTAAATCGCTATTCGTAGACATTCAAAACACTCAGGAAACATACAATTATTATCATGTGAGCGTTGTGTGGGTACATTTGTGTGGCTAATTCGTTGGCGTGGTTATTGGTTTATAACACATGTGTTCACAATAAAATCTTTGTGACATAACGAACATGCGTCGATTGCAAAACCGAATTGTTTAGCGCTTTATTAATTCCAAAAAATATGACAGGTAATTATTGTTCAGTTTTTTTAAGTTATACTACTTTTGGCGCGTTTGGAAAAAAATATGACTGTGAAATTTTTACGATACGCGCGCACACTGACAGCCAAAAAAATGACACGTGTACATTGGTTGCAAAGCAACTTTACGGTTATACCATGGCTACCAATAATAACTATTTGACATTTACCTGCAATTACAGGTTATTTAATTAAACCGTTATCAATTGCATTTAATGTCTTTATCACAAACAAAGAATATTGGCACAGAGGATAAAAATTTTAGTTATTTTTATTATGTTACGCTAAAGACGTATATAATTTCTTACGTGCGTTCATTAGTAAGTTACACGCAAACTTTTTTTAATTCCTTTGGCTAAACGCATAATTTATAAAATTTGCATTTTAGGAAAGGTTGACGACACTTTGAATTGACAAAATGTTATAAAATGTAAGCTTTATATCCGGGAAAATTAAAACGTTATTCTTCAGTTTTAATTTCAACCCCTTGGATTAACCGGGTGTGCTAAATTTCATTCCAACGCGATATCTTGCCTTACTAGGTCAACAGAGTCTTGAGGAGTCCCAGCGAAGACGTGCGAACTTTATCAAGCTAAAAATAAAAAGCCTGTTAACCGAATACACACGCGAAGTTATTTCGAGTCCGTACTCCGTACTAATTAGTCGGATAGTATTCGTGGGCCGTCAACAAAATGGCGAGCGAGACGTCACAAGAGTGGATTTGAATAAATGTTAACGTTAGTTAAAATTAGTTACATTATGATGTAGATACAAAGAATATGCTAATTACGAAAGAGCAAAGATGCAAGATTTAATTTTATTAAATAGAATGAAGTATGTGATAAGAAATACAGTAATTAATAAGACGACTGTTGTAAAGCGAAAGTATTAAAAGTTTCAACGGCCCTTAGCGAGCGTGTGTAGCAGCGGATACGGGCGTCTCCCGAGCGTTGACCGCTCCGCTTCGCACCTATGCGATGAACGTACGCAAGTGACGCTCCAATTTCGACCTAATGCCGATACATTGACGAACTGCTATTTTCCTCCGTCACTTCTTCCTATTTATGAGCTCCTGGTAGGTTTTATCTAGAATGATTCTATGAGTATATTCTATTTTTTATCATCATCATCAATCTTACAGAGTAAGCTTTATTTATTATTAGCATAGATTTATATTTGCGCTAATTTGTTATAACTGTTTAAAAAAAATGCAATTTAATTGGAAATTAACACATATAAATTACTTTTTTTACAAGGTTTTCTATAAAATCAAAATAACAATAAAAAATGTATCTGTCGAAATTATTAAAGTTTAACTTATCAAGTTGTTAAGAAGGTGATAATTATTGATAACTTATATTTTAAAATAATAACATTTAGGATGGTAATGTAAAAAAAAATACATCCAATTTCAGGAGAAAATTGTCGGATAAGTATTATTAACAAATAAGTTAACAAATAATAACAATAATTAATCAAAAACAAGTAATCAGATATAGACCGACGAATAAGGAATCAGATTCTATGTAATGCATATAGTGTTCACAGATAAAAAAGGTTTTTGTTTATCGCCGCCTCACCAGCGAGGCGGGCGTCTCACGCTGCGCCCGCAGCTCGTCCGCGAAACAAGATCTTAAGAGACATCATTATCTCTCACCTCTGCCGCAATTTAGCCGCGGCATAAACAAGCTCCGATTTAAATTAACACGAAAAGCCATTATATGCCGCTGACAATTGTATAATTGTTAAATAAAAGACAAGAAGAATATGCAAATCTAAATTCTTGAAGCAAAGACGGCACTCAGCTTAATAGATGTAGTAGGAATTATCGAGCAAAAATACTACAGTACAAGGAATAAATACAGTACTACAGTACAATACAGTAGAAGGAATACGAAAATACAAGGGCTACAAGCGGAGTTGTTAGTAATGATCTCACTTGCAGGCGCGCATACTCAACCCTGGCCTAGGGTGGGCCAATTCCTGAATGGTGAAGTTATTAGGCGCCACAAATAACGCCGCCGAATGCAGATGAGCCGGGCGTCCATTCTAAAGTTGGCAACCCACGCGGACGGAAATAGCGTAACAAAATGTCGATGTCCAACCGCGCGATAGATAAGTTGGGAATGCGCTCCTACTAGGAACAGGGATCAAAATACCGGTATAATACAGTAACGTTATTTGGGCCACTGTGAGATAACGTTATTTTTAAGAGAAACGTTATTAAAAATGATATTGTGGAAAGCTTTGCAGGCGCATAACGTTATAATTGCGTTACGTTACATTCGTAAATTAAACGTTTCTAAAATATTGTTATAAAAATATTAACGTTATTATTTATTGTTCTATGTCATCTCTTTTACTTAAAACGGTTTACTCTTTTTTGCGTATGTTCTGTCTCTTTTATCTTATGTTCTGTCGCGCTTATATTGTGGTCGTCGGTACAGCAATTCAACTTACAGAAAATTTTGCTTAAGTTACTAGGAATATGAGAGGTAAAGGTAGTATTATTTCTTTTGCGAGCATCTTTCTTCGCTATCTACTTAGTACCATCGCTCGCGTTCACTTAGCGTTTACATCTAGGGACTTTTTTGAGATAGTACATAAAAACATAATTTAAGTGCTAATGATAAAATGGTGTGCAGGTACAAAATAGTTAATTGGCAATTTTCAAATGTTATGTTATGTTAAATGCTTTCTTTTAATATGATTTTATGCATTATAAAGTTAATAATTCTGATTCGATTTTTTGTTGCATTTAAAGTCGCATGTAGCACATTTTTAATATACAATACAAGGTACAATTAATATCATCGACTTTTTATACTAAATGAAATCTTTAATATTATACAGCGTGTCGTTACCATCGCGACAATAAATGAACACACATATAGAGGATAACTTTTTAAAGTTGTATTAAACATTTACATTCTTTAAACATCAATATTTACCGAGTTATTAAATTTTCCAAAACAAACAATTTTAGAACACCCTTACGTATAAAACTATAACGTAAAGTTCATTTGTAAAGGTCACAAAGCATATGAATGGGTTGAATGAATTTAAAAGAGACAAAACATACCGTTAGAAGGAGAGGCTTGTAATGCGACGCTGTGGCGCGAGTTGTATAGGATGTTACAAATTTTGTTTCTTTTTTACTTAATTAGTTTGTTTGAAAAATATTTTTTTTTAATTATTTTTTGTTTAACGATAACATTTTTTTTATGATTATTGGCAAGTAGCGTTAGACGTGTGTTCATTTATTGTCGCGATGGTAAAGACACGCTGTATATAAAGTTCTTTAATACTGAAAAAAGTTTCGACTAACTTGCGTTCTACTAAGTGCAACACGCGCCAATCCGAATTTTATACTAATTTACTTCTAATCAATGAATCGATACGTGGAAAGAACGAAAAACTGAAACAAAAAATTTTTATAAAAAAAAACATCTTAAAAAGCTTTTATTTATAAAAATTGGGTATGCGATAAAAACTTCTTTAATTTTTCTTTTTCGTTTCTTCGGTTTTTCTTTTAATATTATTTTTAACTTTTTAGTATTATTTCATATTTTAATAACTTTACATATCAATTAGTTATGGAATTACTAGTTAGTTGTTTGTAATATTTCACATTCTATCCATTTCATTTAATGCGTAAATATTATATTACTTTACACGTCCACCAAACCACCCATTAAAACTAATCAAACTCGACGTGGTTGTGTCGCTTAATGACTGAGTCCCTATGGGCACCTTCCAGCTCCATCATCAAACCCTGGTTACCATCAAGTACCAAAGCACTCGTCAAGACGAAGCCAATGAGTCGAGAGTCGATGGGATTGCGTCGTTCCATTACAGTCCCTATGGGCACGTTCCAGCTCCATCATCAAACCCTGGTTACCATCAAGTACCAAAGTACTCGTCAAGACGAAGCCAATGAGTCGAGACTCGATGGGATTGCGTCGTTCCATTACAGTCCCTATGGGCACCTTCCAGCTCCATCATCAAACCCTGGTTACCATCAAGTACCAAAGCACTCGTCAAGACGAAGCCAACGAGCCGAGACTCGATGGGGTTGCGTCGTTCCATTACAGAGTCCCTATGGGCACCTTCCAGCTCCATCATCAAACCCTGGTTACCATCAAGTACCAAAGCACTCGTCAAGACGAAGCCAACGAGCCCAAACTCGATGAGGTTGTATCGTTCTGTCATTGCGCAGTTCCTTTGGCCACCTTCCAGCTCTATCATCAGATCAGTACCATGTCATCATAATATTGCATTGTCACGCGATTTACACATGTATGCAAAATTTCAGCTCAATCGGTACCTAACCGGGAAGTGGATCAAATTTAATTTGCAAGAATTGATGACAAACATCGCTACAGGAGAAACTAAATGAAAGCTTGTTAAATAAAATTCGTCGCGTAAAGGGTTTACAAATGTTTAGGCATCGTTTTGAAACGTTGTCGTGCTGTGCGGGGAACCCCCATCCGAGCTAACAGTTGGATCTCCGCTCATAAGACGCGCGCTTTAGAAATAAATAAGTTTGGCAACGTTGCGTATTTATCGTTATAATAACGTTAATAACGTTAATTTCTCTGTAATAATTTCGTTCTGTTACTCGTATAACGTTATACAAAAAAATTGAAAACGAAATTTTTCTGAGGTACCGATACCATTATAACGTTATGATATCGTTATAAATTTCGTTATGCATAACGTTTTAAGTCCCTGACTAGGAATATACTCGTAATTAATCATTGACATAGAAGAAAGCTTTTAAATAACGTTTGGAAGATCAATTGTCAATTGTCGTTTGTCAATTTAGAAAGAAGCTTTTATTACTATGTGATAGAGCTAAGACACACAAACTGTTTCTGTTGTTGCAAGAATGGGTTGGAACGTTTAGGCACATGTTACGCCCTCGCATAAACCGTCGCAAAGCGTAAGCAGTTTTAGTATGCGACCCGAAAAGGGGTCGCCTGCCTTTAAAAGTTGTCAATAAACAAACGCTACAGGAAACGCGGTAGATGTGGATTTCCAACAGTAATCCTTTGATATATTATGAAGCAAGTTTGTTTGTTGTCTTCTATATAATAAAAGAAAGTAATGATAATAACCTACACCAAGTAAGCCCAATCATTTCCACCGTTGCCAGCAGTGTTTCCGATCCAGAAGTACCAGGCGGGCATGACGAGGCGCGTGTTAAATTCCGTCATCGGCCCGTACACGTTACGCTTACGAAGCGCGCGCGCACTGACGTATTCGCCCGCGCTCTAGATAGCGTGGGCGCGATAAAAACGTTTCGTATTGTGTAATAAAAGACAGCTATTTGGGGAGACGCGTAAAAACGCGCCGTACGACAACTGTTTACAAACAAACCAGTTTTACGGACCGTTCGGGGACCTGGGGGAGATAAGGAGACAACGAGGGTGACAGCCTTGTTGTGTTAAGCCACTCGGTAGGTACTAATTAAAAACGTCTACCAATTCATCGTTCTTTTTAACATATCTTTAATATGCTTGTTTAAGGCTCAAGAACGTCATAAAGTACTAAGGTCCAATGAACAACTGTTAGAAGTAAGTAATCGTGATTTACAGATTCACACGTACGTATACGTGATTTAATTTGTTCACTTATATTGTTCTTGCAGATGGCCGATATTAATAACTAATTAACGCCCCATCGCGGTCGCAGTACCCAAATATAGAACGCACAAATTTCGAATCGATTAAATGTTTAATACGTAGCGTCGGCTCCGGTAACTTAAAACAGAAACGATATATTGTTAATACGCGCAAAGTTTACTTTACATAGGTTTAATAACTCTTCTACCAAACTAACTATACTTCGATTCAAATGTGACGATTGTGTTTAAATATAACTTTAGACTTATCCAAAGTATCCGTAATAGATTTTCGTTTAACTTTTTCTAATGAGGTAAGTGGTAAGAGAGCAGGCGGTAATTATTCCAGATTCTCGTGGACAACCACAAAGTATAAACAAAACGTATTTGTCGACCTTATCCCCTGTTCGGAACCCCTTGTTCCCAGTTACTTTACGGCCAGAACAAAAACAAAAAGTCTACGCAAAAGTGTAGGTCTTCCGCGTGGCCGTAGTATTTCCAGGGCGAGCTACAACATTCCAGCAACAACTGAAGATGAGAAAACAAAAGAGGGAGAGCTGCAAAGAACAGAAGCTGTGGATTATAAATCTGTATAGCTTGGTACGAAAAATGTTCGAAAGCTCTGTCCTATTGGTAAGCTCTGAACTATTGGAAAGGTCCGTACTATTGAAAAGCTCTGAACTTTTACAAAGCTTAGTCGTACATGAAATATAAATGAAACATCTATTGTTTTGTGATTGCTTTTTGCCTCCATGGCGGGAGGTGTCAAGACTTGTTTGTAAATCTCGCCCCGCGGCCGTGGATGCCCAATTCATTTCGTGCGCGATTCGACAGCGGCAGAACTGCTCTCGATAATTCCACACCGGCAAACCGATCCGGTGGGCGTGAATAGGATATGATCGACGGTTAATTACGTCTAATTATATCCGAGCTCGCGTTTCTTGGCGTCCGTGTTGCGAATGTCTTCTTTGTTTTTGCAACCATCACTACAGACGTAAAGACACCATCATTGGTTTCATTTGTGTCATCTCTAGTCTTGTCAATGATTTTATGATATATTGATTCTCTGATAGCCCCCGCTAGTGAGATCAAAGATAATGATTATTTCGAAAATATGAAGTTTTCCTTACGATGTTTTCATTCACTATTGAGTACGTGATAAGTGAGAAATAAACTTTTTTTTTTTAATGTGAGAAGGTGGTAAGCGATAGGTGGTTCACCTGATGGTAAATGATAACCGCCGCCCATGGACATTTGCAACAATAGTAGGGTTAGTTTGTTTTATCTTGTGATGGTTGTAGAAATGTCATCGCCAAGGTCTGTACAGTCCGATTTAAACGATTCAATCAGGGGGAGCATCACTTATTCTTCCTAGTTCATGATCCCAGTAGGTTATATTATGATTCCCAATGATCACCCGTCCATATTTATCACCGCGCCATCACTTCGGTTGCCGCATGAACCGACATTTTTTATGTGAGAAAGTGGCAAACGAGCTGGCGGGTCACCCGATGTTAAGTGATCACCGCCGTCCATGGACATTTGCAACACCCGTAGGGTTGCAGATGCGTTGCCATCCTTTATAAAGTGGGCCTCGGCTACCTCAATCACCAGACGAAAGTATAACACTTCCACAACTTCACGCCGGTCTTCTGTGAGGTCGTGGTACTTATCCGGACGGACCTGCCCATTCATGCAACAGCGAACACTGTTGCGTGGCCCTACCACAGTTATACCGTTCAGATATACCGTTCGCGTGTTCCATTGAGGGTTCCCCGCGCCGTACAGGCGGTGTACAGCGAGCGAGGTGGGCCGGAGGGGTTGATGAACGCTCGGTCTATTTCGGGGCGACTAAATGCGGCCGCCGCTCACCGACTGACATTTAGTCCGGCTAGGCGCATCCGACGCGAGCTGGGCCCGCGCCGCGCCCCAATTGCACGGAGCCGTGGCGCCCGCGAGCAATCGAGCGCTTTTGAAGCACCCGCGAGGGCACGCTTCTGTTAGGAACTGAAGCCAAAGGGAGCTAGCAGAGGCCAGATCGATTCTGCCCTTTTTCGAGCCACTTTAACGTTTTATGCGTTAATCGAAGTTAGTCCCGGCACCTGCTATCGCGGATAGACTTCTGCTTGGCAAACTTTAGATCTTGTCGAAGAAGCATTTAAAAGCTAAGGCGAATGCAGTGAGTATCGGAATTTCCTGATCTTGAAGTCTAATACACCCTTAGGCCTAGGTGATAGAAAATATCCTCAGACATATACCAGCTATATCTTTATCATTGCCAGATTGTTAGGACCGCTGGGTAAAAGCAGGAAGCGGTGTCATATATTTGTCCTTATCTCACTATCAAAATAATACCTTGTGAATGAATATACTTATAGTGAAGGGAAGGTGACGAATTACGATAACTACCATAGCCACAACAATTATGTTTCATATTCGCAGACACGGAATAAGATTAACAAAGTTCATATTTCTAAATACTCACCGTATACTTCACTCTCTATATTGGGAGAAGGCAAACAAATATTCGTAGACAATATCTTTCGAATTAAATCTCATCGAATGTATTATACAGATTTGAACACCATTATTATCTTATGCGTGTTTCGAGAACTTTCGGCAGAACAACGCGCACCCAATTCTCGTGCGGAAATACTAGATTCGAGCGATATCGCGATTGGCTTTTGTTTGACTATGTTTAATTTCGTTCTCAAAAGACCGAAGCCATGATTCTCTAACCCGAACCTGATGTGTTTTAATAATTTGGTACGCTACACGCGTTTGCGTGCGTGCGGCGCGGTGTGAACCTCCTTGGGCGGTACACACATTGACAAGCGGAGCGGGCGATTTGTTAAAAATGTGAACTCGTTTGAATAAGAAAGAAATACTGCTGCGACTAACGAAAAATGACAATGCATAGTTAGAATACCCCGTAGTGCATAGTTAGAGTACCCCCATACAAGACGGTATGAGAGATGAACATTAAATAGACATCGAAAAGGAATGAAAAACGGTAATTTATAAATAATAATTAATGTTTCCTGTTTTGTCCCTGTTTTTCCCTTTGCCCAGCTAGAACAATTCTAATTTGACGCTTTGGCGAGTTGCTGAGCTAAAACTCGTGAAGTAAAAAAATTACAAGTACTAGTCAATAGTATTTATTTATTTATTTATTTATTCAACAGGTTCACCAACGTTCGTTCACATATCAATATTAAACAGTAAAAAGATTGAGTATTGATTTTAAAAAAGGAAATTTTCGGGAAGGAAATTCACTCATAATACTAGAATGAAATTGAAGTTTAGTATTTAGTAAGTTATTTAGTAGCGACAGAACAAACTTGCGTCGCAAGGTCAAAAGCTTCCAAGTTCCAATACATGAATGTTTATTATCGTGCGTATACAAAAGATATAAAAACCGCTACCGTCCGTTCGTGGCAGCGCAGAAAACTGTTTGGGCAAGGGGGCACAAGGGCAATACAGCACTTTGAGCACCTTCCAATTGGCTCCGATAGTCGCGTGGCTAATTGGTTCGAACTGTGAATTCGATATTTCCGAAGTTCAACCCCCATTCGGGCCCTAACACGTCATTGAGATAAGTAATTAAATACGCAATTTGCCTTGGCGTTTTTGACGTTCATAAAAGCTCGTAAAATCGAATTGGAAGAATGTTCACCACCCATTTATTAATATTCATTATAATTTAATTATCTTCTGTGGTGGGGCCGCGAAACAGTCTTCGTCTGTTTCACGAATCGGCAGGTCCGCCCTGGGAAGTACCACGATAGTGCAAGTAATTTACTTCTGCGTTTCGTCTGTTGGGTGACGTACGATGCTGCGAATGTCTATGGGCAGCGGTTATGACTTAATATCGCGAGAACAGCTGAATCACTCGGAATATTTTTAATATTCAAATCGTACAGTTCTTTACGTATTCATTGGCTTTGCGAGAAAATAATTTTGGTAATACACTGATATAAATATCTCTTTGTACAATAAATACGGAAACAAAAGATCACACAAACGATATGGAACGGAATACCGCATTAATTATAAGAAATCGTGGTCTCTTTTACTTAAGCATCGATATATTCCAAGACAAATAACTAAGCACCAAGTTGACCAACAAATTACGTTACACGAAACCCATACAATGGGCCAAGTTGTAATCGGACCCTGATAACATAATCACACTCGGGGTCCTTTCGAGAACTTTCCGCATTACCTTCGAGCGAGCTCAGGTGCTAGGAGCAGCTCGAAATCTCGCACCGCGAAAGAAACCTTTCGTTGAAGAGTTAAGGTGCATTTTCGAGACGTCACGCCGGCGTCAAGAGCCCCAAGTTCGATTATCTGCAAACGGCCCATTAAACGAAAATGATACGCATCCATAATGTAACCGCGGGATTGGAACATTTTAATTAGGACGCTATACGACCCAAAAAAAAACAGCTGACAGAGGCTACACGGCCGTCCCGTGATTTATTGAGAAATAATCGCGCAATAACAAAGAGCATATACCACGCGCAGTCTTTTAGGGAGTCACCACCTTTAAGGGAGTCGAATATTTTATCCTCGAAGATCAAAAAGTGGACTTATTCGTGGGTCTTATTTCAGTCGGATCAAAAAATCTCAACATTAGATTCCGGTTCAAGTTATACTTTTCAAAATATTAATATTAATATTATTTTGCAGTATATCCTCCCTATTTATGCCGAGACGATTCAGTCGCTATAACTAAAACAAATATGACACTAATGAAGGAGCAATTTATCAACGCAAATCAACTAGGGACAAATCTTCGCCACAATAACAATGAAATAGAAGTCGGTAATTGGGCGATCATAAAAATAAAAATAATTTGAAGCAATGCTATCGAATCGACAATAATTGTTATTCGTTTATCTTAATTTTATTATAACTGGGCGATCAAAACAAATTCTCGAATCGAGCTCGCTCAAGTCTAACCTATATTTAAATACGAACAAAAGGAGAGTACTAAGAAAGATTTTCGAAGCGTTTTAATCAAAAATAAACCTTAACACTGCGCCAAACGGGCCGTTTTACCTCGCGGCCGTCCGCCTGCACAATGCGTCGTGGACAGATGCACAAAATGAGGTGGACCGACGAACGTCTGGGAGCTTCGCAGAAATAAAACAGTGTTTTTTTTTTGTTTTTCGCTCTCCCTCCGTTTCGAATCGCTCACATTCTGCCGCGTCAATTAGTGTTGTCCTCACGCAAATATGTTTGACCTAAAAAGCTATTCCACTACTCATAGTGAATGTGTTATGATGTATTTCTTATTGTAATTGCTCTAAGCATTTTGATATTGCTTATTTTATACTTAATACCTAATACTAAGTACGAAACAAAGTTTTTTCTTTGTTTCGTATAAGTACGAATTTAAGTAAGTTTCTAGGTATTTCAGGCGAAACGTTTTAATTTTAGGAAATATTACGTGAGTACAAATGAAAAAATAGTTAAAATATATTAAGTACTTATATTTAAGATCAACAAGAAAAATATATGTATAAATTGAATTTAAAAATTTTGAATTGCGTTGTATTAGATGTGATTGAAGAGACACCATTGATTTCCGCATGCGTGGTCACCGGAGGCTATAAACCCGTAACCTAATGAATCAAGAAGCAGTATAATTCTTCGTACTTGAAGAGATGAAGAATACATGTCTTTATGTTGTCGAGAACACTTAGAGCGCTGTGAAATATCTTGCGTTTAATATAGTGATTACATCGGTTAACTGTTGCTGTGACTAAATAAAATCATTAAAAACTAGTAATGAAAACAAACCAGTATTGCTCGCTTAAATCTGCTTGAATACATTATAAATATGTACAAACAAGTTATTGTAATATGTATGTAAAATAATTTGGTGCGGTTGAAATATCGAATGAAAGTGTGCCTTAAATATAAGGTATTTTATTTGTTGGTTATACGTCGTGCGTTATCGTGATGCCTAAAATTAAGTCGATACAATTAATTTAAAAAAAAGACGCAAAAAAAGAACTTGTCAGACAGAACAAATTCTATATTCAAATGTTGACATTACATGACGGCGCGCTGTGAGGTTATTTTTTTTTTTTCAATTTCGGCATAAGGTATTGCGCCTCCGGTCCGAGCGAAGGCGCCGAACGTCGCCCACATTGGGCCGCGGTGCTTTCGTTTTTACACGTCCTCGCATTCTGTTCAGGTTTGGGCCGTCACTTTTTCTTTCGCTAGCGCCCGCTAGGACCGATCGCCTTGACCTTCGGCGGCGGGCGGCCGTCGACCCGCGCCGCTCTTCCGCAAATACGGCGCGCCGCGTGGCCGTTTATGTGCGACTATACCCGCCCGGGCGGCCACTGCTAACGATACATTGTCGACACTACAGCGATACGTAAGCGGGATAGTTGAGGCACCACCGATTATTAAAATGTACCGTACACGGGACACTTGCGTACAGCGAAATTTAAAAAATAAATGTGTAGAACATTTGAGCACAATCGATTGTGAATTGAAACGTTAAGGCACAAGCACAATAGGTGATAAAATGTTTCCTTTGTGAACAAAGTGCTCTTTATTAAACATTTTTGTACGGACATTACATACGTAAAATGTACGCAGATGAACAACCAGTTCTGTTTTTCTATTGGTCAATTACTTGCGCCGTGCGAGAATATAAGCTACGATAATGAAGAACGTTTGTCATTGAGTTTTTAAGGAGGCGTACTTGTAATTTGTCAAAGCGTTCGTAGGCAAATATCGCGGGTAGGCCCTTAAGCCTTCCAGACGGTTCGGCGGGCGGGAGGAAATGGCCGCAAATGAGACGGAACCGTGTTTGCGTCGACAAAACGCGGCGAAGTGTCTGACGAGGGGCGCCTTGCGGCCGCTGGGCGACGCTTCCCTTTCGTTCGACACAGGGACGCCGCGGTTATCGAGCGATCACTCACGGCCACGCCATTAGTCAGCAACGCTAGAAATCAGCAAAATCTTCAAAAAAAAAAAAACAAATCCCACGCTTAAATATGAAACATTTACAAGTCAAAATGAAAATATTTCATTATAGTGTTGCAGTGTGATGTCAATGAGAAAGAATAGCAGCATTCGAGTATTTAAACGGAATCCAAACGATACTATTCAAATTTAAAAATCGAACAGCCGCCATTGAACGCGGCCGCGTGTCGTCCGTTAGTGAAACATCGAGTTGAATTATCGTGCGTTAACGGCGCACACATGAATGGTATATCCACACGTGAGTTCATTCAATTTGTTAAAGGGGCGACGCGCCGCGACGCGACGCATCCATCGCGTGTTTGGAACGCGCTCGCATTAACACTTCCAACGTAAAGCAGCATTATAGCACGCTGTAAACGATATGCCATGTTCGTATTAAACGAGAACTGGGAGTAAAGGATTTTTGAAAGATATCAAAGAGAATATTTTAAGGTTTTAAATCGTTTACGGTTTTATTTATTGAAGTACATAAATGTATTTAGCTAAATAAAATAACTAATAAACTGTGTTCACTCCACAGAATCAAATTAAATTCTCATGGTGCAACAGTCTTCGCTGTTGCACGAATGGGTCAGTCCGGGTAAGTACCACGACCTCACAGAAGACCGGCGTGAAAGGTAGTCGTCGCGCACTTTATTAAAAGGTGGCATCGTATATGCAACCAATACGGGTGTCGCAATAATAAAATAAAATGAGTAAAAAGGGTGTTGCAATAATAAAATAAAATGAGTAAAAATTTAAGTAGCTCTTAGTAAGTTACATCTCATGATGTGTGTGATACATTATAAAACACAACTTCGGAGTAAAGCGATAAAAATCTACGGACGTTCGTGACTAGACACCGGATTAAATTTATATTTAAGACGTAATAAAGTACGCTGTAGACATTCGAAATAATAAAAGCGTTGTTATCATGCCATTTGCATGTTTTTAACGCGTTTACATCTTTTTTGCCGTAAGTAGGATACGATCGTAATAATCACCTCGACATGGGCCGGGAATCGTTACGGATAACAATCGATTAAGTCATGCCGGCTAGAGACCCCGAAGAAAAAACAGAACTAACGATGAATCGATAAAAACGTAAAAAAAACGTTGCCAATAACTAAAAACGATTTGCATATCGCCCGCGCTTATCTCGTGGAATCGTCATATTCGCGATAGACACAATATTGTGTTTACATCTACTTTCGTAGTACTTTCCAATTATTTGATAATTAAACCACAGCCTTTCTACCACTAACCTGCATTAATATTACAACTAACTAAAGATAAAAAAACTGTACATATATATATATATATATACCGAAAACATTGTAAACCACCTATCACAGAAAACCAAGGAAAGTTTTGATAAACGTTTGGGAATGGTTTGACAAAAGTAAGGAACAGTCCTAAACCCCAGATAAGGCCAACGTAGAAGAGAAGTATTTTTACATTTTGCCTGAATGAGGTAACAGAGGCTCATTCTAAAAGGCCGGTAAAGTAAATGCAATCTGGTGTTAGATGTCCACGTCATTTGAGCCTTTTAGAGATCACTACTGAATACGGGCCTCACCCACAGACTGCCACGAAGCAGAATCCTGAGCCGCCTGCATCCATGGGTGGCGGTAATCACTTAATATATGGACCGGCTCGCTTGCTGTCATAAAGTCCTTTTTTTTATTAACGAAAGACAAAAAAGACTTCTAATACCACGCTCTGTATTCATAATATATAAGTATAGTTATAAGTATCTCCAGAGCCCAAGATCCAATACCAATGACCTGCTTTCAAATAAACAAAGAATCATCAAAATCGGTTCACCCCGTCGAAAGTTATGAGGTAACAAACATAAAAAAATACAGCCGAATTGAGAACCTCCTCTTTTGGAGTCGGTTGAAAATAAACATATCTTGACAATTGCGCTTTGGAACTAGCGGATTGGGAGCAATCGACCACACGCTGTAGGGACGTGGTCCCTCCGCCGAGGTCCTTAAAGGTATATCGCTCGGTTCTCTATTTGCGCAACGGCGGAATTTCAACCAATCGTCCGCGAGAATTTTTTTTCGGCTCTCGCGGCCCGCCGAGCGGATATCGATAAAATATTCGCGCCGTGTATCATCCCGCGCTGACAATGCGCGGCAAAAACGCCCGCCATATTGATTTGGCGATAACTAGTTACGTTTCCAAGCGTTACTCGCGGATCATAATCAAGCGGGTTAAAGCGGGATTCCCTAAAGCATTGCATTATACCGATAAATAGAATGTTTAATGAACTTATTTTCTTGGACATATGTAAGCTGGTACTGTGAGATCGTGCTATTTATGCTACATAAGTCTATCAGAATGTAATTAGTATGAAGCACCAATATTGCCTTTAATTTAATTTATTTATAGTGCAGTCCAACCGAGTGCGGGAATGTGGCGACCCTAATTGCAGGAATGGTCAGCCCCGTGGCCGGAGGCTGCGCACCACATTCCAAGGCGATGAGTGGTCCGCACTATGACCCGAGAGTTTTTCTCCGAGCCCCTAGCTGGACGCTCCACGATCCAAAGACGTAGAAATGTGATAAGCGTAAAGCCATAAAAAGGAATGAATAATCATGATCACGTTTATAAAAATAAAAACATAACATATTTCGTGTCGATACCGATTGTCTTTTACAATAAAAAAAACCGATCAAGTGCCAGTTCAACTCGTTCGCCTAGGGTTCCGTACCTTCCCATCATACCGCCATAATAAAATTGGTAAATAATCCTTGCAAGCTCAATTTCAACTGACTCCTAAGAAACTCGGTGGTGAGACACGGATAGACATACGGACAAGAGAGTGATGTATAAGGGTTCGTTTTTTTATATTTTAAGGTACGGAACCCTAAACAAAACAACACGGGACGCACAGTCGTCATATCATTTGTCGTGCAAGTAATTAGAATCGGAGCGGAGCATTCATTTAGCCTTTCCTCGGCCGAGGCGTCGGAGTCAACGGCCAGACGGATTAGAGGGGGCCGATTAACGAGCCCCGCGCGATTTGTAACCGGAATAAAGCCCGCGGAAGGACCCGCGGCGTAAACAACGGCGAAGTCAAAGCTTTCGACTTGTGTCCAAATCCTGTTCTATTTTTTTCAGCTGCCGACGCGCGATTGTGAACTTTGTTACCCGAGCGGTTGAGACGCTTTCGCGGTGTGGCGCCCGAAAGCGCGACTTTCGGTTTCGCGCACGCTATTTATTCGGAGTCGCGACGTAGAATAGATTCGGGCGTCTGAATCAATCCGGACCGGTCGCTAATCTCGTTAGCGGGGCGACCCACGTGGCGATACTCCGAATCGATAAGCTTATCGACACCGGAACACCCGATAGGCCCAGGTGAGGGGCGACTGATTAGGGCCCGGGAGCCAAGGCCGCGGCAGATGTGGGAAGCACAAGCCGCCCGTTCACCGCTTATCGGCGTTTGCCAAGCGCAAATAAGGGCCGAGGAGTAGCTGGCCCGCCGCTAGGGCCAATGCACCCGCCCGTGAGAACAGAACGGGCGATGGCATAACACGTGGAAATACACGAATCCAAACAGGCGTTTTGATTCTGAACTATGGCGTCGTATTAATTGACAGACGCTCGCTCCCGCCTGTCAAAAAGCCCGCCAATTGCAGAGCGTGACCTGGTCAGCGCGCGTCTGCACTCGGCGCACTTGCACTGGTACCGTCGCGCACGAAAGTGTCGCGTCGAAACCGAAAGCGGACGAAAAACACGACCAGTAACGCGATGCGTCAGCGCAATGCACCTCTCCCTTTCGCACTCCAGTCGCGTGCGTATCGACGTCCCGTTCCGCCCAGTTTTATAGGAAGAGCGCACTCGCTTACGGAACAGCAGTCGCGGACAGTCGCGTAATAAAGATCGACGCGACATCTCCAGCCAACAATGAGTGGAGGCGACTGTCCTGCGCGGCTATAGGTTCAACATCCCAGCCTTGGACCCGAGCGCCCTTAGCGGCTAGGCGCGTACCTGCTTGAGACGATCTCGCTATTTTTAGCGCTTCGTATGAGTTATTGGAGGCGTTTTGGGAACGCGTTAGCCTTTGCCGGAGAGCCGCTCTCTCTAGTCACGTATATTTATAATATATGGGCGGGCATAAAAAGCCGAATAGCTTTACGATCCCCGTACCAGGAAAAACGTGAGCGTCGGTGGTCCGCGCGCCGCGGCGCCAATTAGATGTCGGGCGCATCGCGAAAATATAAATATTAGTAGAACCGACAAAGGTTTTTAATCACCGATCTGGTTGCGTGTTGCTCGTTTTGCGGTCCCAAATTGCAGGAGGCGAGTTCGATCACCCCGCCGCGCCGCGCTTAGGGCGACTATGCCCCGGTGGATCGTGTGAGAAATTACCGAAGATTTTGCTCTTGTTTCGCGCTTTGATAAACGGCACGGGGTGTATGTAATTTCGACGTCCGGCCGAGCGCGACCGCGCACGCACACAGCGACCGCGGCTGGTTCGTTTCTCGAATTCGATTCGGATAATCCTAGACCGACGACCTGTTACCGGCGAGCTTCGGAGCATCGGAATTCGTTAATACGAGAGCGCGACGCGAACAGACCCATAAGCAATATTGAAACAACACCGACGTTCGAATGAACAATAAAATACGAAGAGCAAAATTAAGATCGAATAACAATGGCGGCCGTGGACGGAGCGCGAACGTCGCTGGAACCGGCAGCTTATAGTTTTTCGAATTTAAAAACGAAAGCGAAGGCGCGAGCGAGCGTGCGGCGCATCTCGCCAAGGTTACGTAGTAGGGGCGGCGACCGGCGAGACTCGCGTGACGTCACAGGCGCCGGAAACGACGCCCGCCTCATAGTTACGGTTACATTTTGAGTTTAGAAGAAAGTGCCTCGTTGCGCTTGGGCTAGGTCAGTTGCGTTGCAACGACCGAAGTCCAACGTCCGTCCGGCGTGACGTGTTTTCACATATTCAAATTAAGAACGACACGAATCTCGAGAGAATTATGGAACGCTCAAAATTGTTGCATTCTCTTTGCGGACTCAATGAGACGTTCGTGTCACATATCCCACGACATGACTCTCGAGATATGACATGGATCTGTTCTAATTTGACCGGTCCTCTGGCACATTCAAATTTAGAACGACATTGATTTTCGGCAAAAACCTATCGCGTTTATAAAATGTCTCGCGAATCTTCGACACGAATCGCTTAAAATACAACAAGTATTTAAAACAGTAGTTGCAGTTTCCAGGAGATGTTCAACAATAAGTATGACAATTACATCGATGCGGCGGAATATCGGGCGTGTCCTGAACTACAAGTGGATAGGTTCAACGCACGGGCACTTATTTTACTTTTACCTGTGTCGTTATGAGTCAACGGTCCTGGGCGGCTAACGAGTCGAGACTTACGGGTTTGATTTTATTTCTTATTACGTTATTTTAATTTTATTCAATTAGCTCGTGTCCGTTGCCGATTTAACATTGATATATAGCAATAAACATTTAGACGAAAATCAACTAAATGAATCAAGTTATTTGACTTTGCCTCACATTGTATGCGTCGCAACTAATAATCCCGATAGACTCTACGCTAAATGTCAAATCAAGTCTTTTAAGATGTCCGTTACCTACGTACATTAGAATATAGAACTAAATTCAGAATATAGAATTAAAAACAGAAAATAATTCCATCGGATCCAACATGGATTGGAGGATTAGACATGTATTGATGAAAGTTCTAATTTAGCTTCTCAATCAGAAGCATTGCAAATATACGTTAGAAGACAATCATGTCAGTTATTTTCGGCTCTCGAATCTGGGACTTCTCCGGAGCATAAGCTATATTCTGTACCTTAATACTACCTCAACAGCTTAATACTAACAACCTCACCGATCTCCGCACAGGTCGCGAAACGCATTTACCTGTAAAGGACAAAATAAACACATTAATAAAATAAGTTATTGCGGTAATAAACTCATTCATGTGATAAGTACATATTAAAATCGCAATAAAACGTAAAAACCAGTGTTTTTATACGGCTCGGGATCGCCACACGGTAACGAATATAAAGACGGACAAGTTCAAAGAGGATGAAGTTTTCAAACAGAAGTTTTGTGAAATGATGTAATAAAAAGACGTAGCATAACTTCATATAGTAAAGTAAAGTAACAGCCTATACATGTCCCACTGCTGGGCTAAGGCCTCCTCTATACAGAGGGTGTCAGGGCATAGTCCACCACGCGGCCCCACTGCGGATTGGCGGACTTCACATATTTTCGAAATATATTTTTTTTTGTTATTATTTCGAAAATATGCAGGTTTCCTCACGATGTTTTCCTTCACCGCGGAGCACGTGATAAGTCAGCACTTAAAGTTAAAAACTTCATTGGTGCCGGCACCGGGAATCGAACTCAGGTTGCTCGAGTATATTGAATTAAAGGCGAGCGCCCGGACACTGAGCTATCACGGCTCTAACTTCATATAGCAAAGAAGAAAATTAAAAATGTAATCTATTGTAAGCGATAATAATTTATATTATAGCGAACACTAAAAACTGTTCTGACATTTTTTTTAAGTTAAATTCATGATGTTTAGAACACAAAAAGACAGTTATTATATAATTATAATTAAGTTATTGGACTGCTCAGTGTTAAAGTTCTCATTACAAATTAGAGTTACGGGATGGTTATCCGTAAAAACGGTTTCCCTCAATAAATTATAACGTATCGCGCGCAAATGACTAAGGCGACATAAAAGCCGCATATCATCGTTCATCTCTCATGCCGAGCAGAGTCCCTCGCAAGTTCTTGTGAAAACAAAAAAGAACTACAATCGATCGGCGCGCACGCTAAAAATGTCGTACACAAACGCGAACGTAAACGTAAACAGAAAACAACGCGTTCACGGGAATCCATCCCGGCTTGCGTAAGCGAACGGTTCCAAATCAGCACCGACTGAAGAGACTATACGGTAAGCGTTAGGTTCGGCACACTAGTTGCGGACTCGGCATTGTCCAGCTTAAATAGACCCTGCAGCGGAATTGTAAACTAGGGCCTAAAGAGCAGCGGGCGCGGAATAAAGGCTCAAATGGGAATGGCCGCGTCCGCTTGAATGTGTCTGTGCCTCGGCGTTTCCGATAGGCGCGTAACGCGGCGCGACCTACGTCGAATACAAAGTGAGTCACGCGGCTCGCGACGGCTTAGCGACCGACCAGAACGTTCTATGCACGGGGGAGCGCTGTTAGGCTTTTATTACGGCGACACATGCGCCCATGAACGGCCCGAGCCCCCCGACTAGACTCAAGGCCGAAACCCTATTGAAAGATCCCCGAAGTACGTGGGCACTGGCATCTCAACACGAACAAAGACGCGGGTCGCCAAACGAGTGACTATATTAACGCGCGAATTGAGTCCGATTGATCATAATTATCGGCTTAATACGCCAATTAGTCGTCGTCGGCCGAGCGCTCTAAGTAAAAAGTAGGAAGAATGGGCAGCCTCCAAAACGGGTCTGGGGGCTCGATGTTAATCGAAACAAATAGACGCGGCCGTGCGAACCGTCCACGCGTCACGCGGTGGTTCTTATCCCGTAGCGGGAAGGCGCATAATGCGCGGCCGGCGCACGATTCGTCGCGGCATTCGCCGCAAAAGAATGCAACAAGACGCGACGCAGCCGGACAACTTCGCGACAATCGAACACTCCGCGATCCGTGGTTTTATTGAGCGATAAACACCGGGGCCGCTCATCGCGTTCGGGATTTAATTTCCGCTCGAAACCACCAGAATTGGGGACGCGTAAAACCCGCCGCGGTCGGCGTCGATTGGCCCTCGCGGGGGGCGAACAATGAGGAATAAAGTCGGAGGTTTACGAGCGCCGAGGCGCGCTCGTTAAGGCGGGAATGCAACGGGCGGAGCGCGCACAAAAATCGCCGGGGCGAAGTTTAACGGCGAGCCTTACCGCCTCGGAAGTGGGTCAACGACGGGGCGTGTGACGCGTGTCGGACGCGAGAGACGTCGCGACGCCCGCTAAAGTTCTCCCACTCGATTCGGTGCGAATTCGTCCGGAGCGGCGGAATCCGCGCCCGCCCTTTGTCGCGGATTCCCAGACGTCGGGGGCCGCGCAAAAAGCGGTCGCGTGGAGCGCCTTATAAATCGCAAACGGGTCGCGGCCGAAACGACGGCCGCCGGGCGACGTTGTACCGTTACAAAACCTAAGCCCCTTGGAGGCGTCGAAGGGCGAGAGGGTCGAATATCCAGTCCAACGGGTCCGCTTTCTTTCGATCCGCCCCGTCCTGGCCGGGCGCCATTACAAAATCGTCCACTTAGATCGAACAGGGTCGGATTTCGATAGGAATTAATAAAAGACGGATGCGCGATGCGCTATCGAATATAATACGTAACGATTCGATTATCGATCGACATACCAAACTGAATGAACGACTCGAACGCACGGGGTCATCATCTACCCGACTTATGCCCCTTTGTTACGATAATCCGTGTTGAACAAACAATCATTCCGTTACTTAATGGCCGTTTAAACCGCTCGTATCCCCCTCAGGCTGGCGGAAGGGCGCTAAACGCGTTGTCGACCGCGTCTGTTATTAATTAGTCGATCGTTGACAGGTCCATAAACGGGGACTGATGTAAAACGCTACGTTGACGAGATAAAGTTATTTATAAGCGCATAAATAAGATAGAAGGTCGCGGCCGATCGCGTCGGGGTAGGTCCAGGGGAGTCAGATATCAACAACGTTTCCTACCTAATTCACCGTTATTAAAACGTCAATACTAAATGATCGATGCGCCACACCAAAGTAATGCTTCATTTCGTTGTTCCAAACGCAGGCTCAATTCTGACCTTCTGGCTTCGGTTATAAATAACGGGCGATACAATGTCCCCTACTTTGTTGAGGCGCGAAACATTACTAATAATATATCATAACGCGTACAGACTGAGCAAAGTTATTGCAATTGCAGCGGGGAGATAAATGAGCGTCAATTATGGAATGAACACGTATATTCCTTGAGACTGGCTTCTTAAGTTGAGGCTTTGTTTGGTTTATTGACCAATCGGGACCACCCAATAAATTTTGTTATTGATCGGCTCGTATTTCATGCAGTATTTTAAGCGTGAATTAAAAAACAATACCGGTTTCGGTACTACTTAAATTTTTACATAAAGAAATAAGAGAGATTATACGACAAAGCACGATTTATTGCGCTTCGAAACAGATACTTGATGTTGTTTGATAATAGATCATACGTTTAATGATATAAAAGTATATTCAAAACGTCTTGGTAACAAACAAAAGTATGATTTTGTTTTGTACTTAAGCACTCACGCATGGAAATAATTGATACAAAACCGGGACAGTGATAATTACGTCGATAGGATTTCATGAGATCACTCTTTTTATAATGTAACTAACGAATATTAATTACTAACTAATTCAATATTAAAATATTACAATTTTCATGGATAAGAACATCTCTATTTCATCGTACATTGGTACGTAGTCTAATAATACATACATCAAGGACCAAAGAATCGATGTCTCGTATTCTGTTTATAAGTACCAGGGCGTCATGCGAGCGAGGAGTTTGTGAAATTGCGCGCGACCACAAGACATCCGGCGGACAATGGCGCCCAGTGCCCGCCGGATACACGTAATGCGCACACGCAGCGCAACTTAACATATGCATCGGGCTGCTTAAATTCTTGCGGATGCTCGGCGGTCGCGGCTTTGGCCAACATCGGATGTCCCAGACCCATACTCCGTAACAAGTTTGCCCTATAATTGGCACGGAAATCAAGATGTATTGCACGAAAATTCTGATCCTTAGAGCACGGTCGATGACATGTTAGCAAATGGTGGAAGGATCGAATCATGCAAGTGTAACCTCTCAAATTATTGGAATGGAAAAATACTCCTGAAATTTTACCTCGAACGCCCCTTTAATTAATATTGTTAGAAGCGATAAGGTGAGTTGTTGTAACAAGTTATATTTATGGTTTACACTGTCACTTGCATCGCATGTTACTAGGACGACATGAGAGCAAGTGGTGTAGGTATCAAATCATTGCGAGGAGGTATCGAGTGAAGCGGTTTATCTCGCGGTCACCGCAATCACGGCCTAGAGAAGCCGTGGGCGTGTGGGAGCGCATCACGGGAAACTGGTTTGCCTATCCCAATGTCCACAAAACGCACTAGTCTAGTGCACTTCTACTTTTATTGTGTAGAAGCAGAAGCCAACAAGACCTTGTTGATTGAAAGCGATTTCCCTCATGACTGAATAATTATAATGAACGTCTTAGCGGTAAAAATCTGAGACATATTAAGCCGCCCCAAATTCTGTCCATTTACGCGAACGGTGGAAAATTGCATTTCATTATTTTGCAAATTTTGCCGCTAAGAAAGGCGTCGGGCGTCACGCAGCACTTATTAAGCTCAAAAGCCTTTTGTATTCCTCGCCGTTGATTGGTATTTGTGCGCAATCTCGCGCTGCAACCAAATTGCGCCCTCAATAAAAGAATATGTGTCAAAACAGCGTCCGGTCCCTTGCGTCGTAAAAGTGCGCCGTGGAACCTCTTTGTTTCGCGCCAATTTAAAAAAGGAATAAATCGCGTTTATTTAAACTAAAGGAGCGTGTTACGTTCGAATTACGAAATCGATCACGCAACTTTCGCGCTTATTTTGAGATTTATTTTAAAATATACAACATGATAACCAAATGGTTAAGTATTGTGCCTTGTCAAGTATAATTCTAATAGAGTACACAAGGCATAAGTACCTTTAAATTCGACATGTTTATTGAGTTCGTCTTGTTTTGGCGCTAAATCATTAGCTCAATACTAAATGTAATAAAAGCTAAGACAAGTATAACATATTAATGAGTTTTATAAGGTACTAGTTGCTGCCCGCGAATACGTCTGCGTAGAATACACTGAAAGCGTAACATTCGGACAGAAAGACATATATGCATAGAATATGTATATAAATTATAGCCTATTTTTTATTTGGATGTATAAGCTATATTATTGTAAAGTTTCATTAAAATCCATTCAGTAGTATTTGCGTGAAAGAGTAACAAACATCCATCCATACATACAAACTTTCGCCTATATAATATTAGTAAGGATGTAGTTAAAAGCAAACCAGAACTCATACCTTGTTCTACCACTAATAACGACCTTCATAGTCAAATAGTATCCGATAAGTTAATTGCCGCGAACGAATTAGGTTTTGGCGGTTTTTTCTGCGCCCCCAAACCGAAGCTCTTTGTTTATGATTCATAATTACAATATGTCGGATAGGCAATCACCTAACCTGTCATTACACCGTTCAAATAACTACTCATTTAAACATTCACAAATGAAACCGCAGCTTATTACTGACGGATAACTGCTGTCCTAAGTTCGATATCTATCAATCGTTTGGCGAAATTAACGTCTAAAACAAAATGTAATTCTGTAACGCGAAGAAAAATCTTTGTTCCTCTTTTTGACAATATTGCTCGGACAGAGGAGTGCAGTTTTTATGATTTGGAATAGTAAAAGATAAAATATACCTAAATATAATTTGGAATAGTAAAAGATATAATCGAATTGAGAACCTCCCCCTTTTGAAGTCGGTTAAAAATGGAGTGCAGTATTAAAAAAATGTATAAAAGGTTGTTACTACTGATACTAGGTTAAATATATTGGGTTAAGTGTCAAGTTTTTGACCACTGACCGACTACTATAAATAAAGTTGTAATATTTGGTCAGTACCCACAGATTTTATACGCGATCTCTTAATATTTGCGGTAGGGGGAAAATTGAGATCGGTATCGTGTTTTTGCCTCGGGTACCAGGCGATCATGATTTCGTATCATTAAGGACCTCCATCAAACGGTTCGCGTGACGGCTGTGATGCAGCGGTGACGCGATGCGAGCCAAAAAGCCAACAAGCAAAATGGCGAACTTAATTAATCGTATTATTATATGTGTGTATTTTGATTTTTTTTGTCTTCTAGCATGACTGAATCATTGACCGTATCCGTGCACTCAAAATTACAATTTCAGTGCATCTTATTTAAAAAGAGAGTTCCGTAGCTTCAATGTAATTATAGGCTTCATACGTTGAAGCCTATAATTACAAATTTGCCTAAAATATTATTATGATATTTTATTATTACGATTATATTAGCTAGGTGTGGCTTTTAAATCGTCAGTGCATGTTTAGTGTCATTGCAGTGAAGTGTAAGATTAGTCCTAAATACAGGACTTGCTTAATAATGCTTAATAGTCAGTGTTAAAAGAGAGTGGCTTTATTAAAATTAAAAGAATTTTTTTTATATGAAAATTAGACAAGTGGACGGTACATCTGATGTGAATACCGTCGCCTATGGGCATCTGTAAGACTATACGGTTCGTGGTTATCCTTAAACTGGCCTCGAATACTTTACTTTGCATTTCGGATACTTACTTAGATGGTAAATAAATGATTGAATTAATTGAATTGAATTAACCCATCAGACGAAATGGTCTTCTGTAAAACAGCGGTACTGAAGTCATCCGCCGACCATTCGTGTGCAGACTCAATTTTCTTTTTTATGTGAAAAGTTGAGGTTGACTAGCGAGTAGGCGGTTCACCTGATGTTAAGTGAATACCGCGGCCCATGGACATCTGTTATACCCGAGGGTTTGCAGATGCGTTGACAACCGGCTACCTCAATCACCAGACGAAAGGCGAAAGTATTATTCCACTTCACGCCGGTCTTCTGTGAGATCGTGGCACGTTACCCGGACGAGCCTGCCCATTCATGCAACAGCCGAGGCTGCTGCCCTACCACAACTAATAAATATAAAATTAAAAGACTAATAGATAGACCGACGAGAAGCTTTCGCCGAATCGAAGTAACATAACGCACGAGATTGGAGGTCCCAGGAGACGGGCGCGCCGCGGGGCGAAGCTAGCGAGAATTATAATAATAGGATAATGATACGTCTGGCCCGATATGAGCGGCGCGATGGATCGTGGATTTTTTCGGCCGTCTCGGGTGCACTCGCAAGGTCTAACTGGTTCAAGGATGTCTCGCCCGTGAACGGCCGCCTTGTGCTTGCGATAGGTCGCGACCAGGTCGCTGAGGTCACTGGGACCCCACGGACAGTTGACATGCACTCTAGCAAGCCGAGCAAGGTTGGCGTCAGCTGAGCGGCTCTCTTGACACAGCTGCGCATATTATGATTACAAGTGTGATTGCGATCTGTTTCGAAACTAGACATTCTGACAGTAAAGAGATTGCCTCTATTTGACATGGTACTCGTGTGGCCATTTGAATGGATTTCATGAACCTTTCTTTTTACCGTGATAGCTGAAATTGGTAGTTTTAAGTGCCGCCTTATCACGTGCAATATCTTTAGGAAAGCTATATCTTCGAAATGACTAGGTAAAAAAAAATACTTACATATGTCCGCGGTGTCATAAAAAAATAATAATTATGGAATTTATGGCGTTGTTACAAAAAAAGACCTTTATGAAATAATATACAGAGATGGATACAACATATCTATACAGTTACCGAACCCTATATTCACGATAAGCGTCCATCCTTACGTTGTCGCGGCGGGGACAACAGTTTTTGCGGCACTGAATGGCCAATTAGGCCAGCGGTCGCAAAAACACTCGTTCGGACGTTTATTCAAATAACAACGAGCCAATAAAAGGACCAGTTTTAGAAATTAATCGCCTGCTTATGATAATACGAGAACGCGTCCACCCGCCGCCAACAAGAGAAACAAAACTCGATGACGTGCCGTTTGGGAGGTGCAACGCACTTACAGTTGACCTCCCAGCTTGGCACGGAGTCCGAATCTTACGTAAGCGGTCTGCGGGTAGTTGTAAATGTGCGGTTCTCGAGGCATTTGTAAAAAAAGATATTAGAATTATAAAACTATTTCGTATATAATTTATACGTCACATGGTAATGTCTGTTTTCCTAGTATAGTGGTAGTACCTAGTAGTTCACAGTGAGTGAATCCTGTCTCTTGCGCCAAAGCGTGTGGGTTCGATCTCCCCATATTGAGTAATGAACATATTTTTCTACTGTCTGGGAGTTATGTTACATCGATAACTTCTATTTATGTACAGAAGAAAAGTACGTTTCAGTATGTTTATCACTTACCCAGTACCTTATAGTACAAGCTTAATTTAGTTCGGCCCTATATAACGCTGTGTAAAAATATGTCCCCAAATATTTATTTCTTCTATAGAAGGAGAAAACTTAGTTTCGATTAATCTAATTGCGCTCTGTGAGTGCACGAGTCACTCCGAACGACTAGTTTTCCCACCTGGCTTCGACTCAAAATTCTTTTCCAACGCTGACATTTCGACAGACCTCACGCGATCGCCTCGCCCAAGATCGACCGGGCCAATGTGACTTACAAGTAACATTGTTATAAAAAGGCCACCCGGCGCACAGTAAGTCATCCGCGTGCATACATTAAGATAATCTGCACGCGAAATATCAAAATATCTGTCAACCGGCGGCGGCTCTTTGATCTAGCAGGGTCGAGGCGGGGGGAGCCCAAAAAACCCCGATCACGACCGCACCCGCCCCGTTTAATTAAATATATAATCAAATTATTACATTATGATTTATCGACCGCGCAAAAAACTCGCACGTATTGACTTAGCGATGACTTCGAGACGGACGTTGTTACCATTAGCATTTGCAGTAGGTATTCACGGAACCCATTACGCGGGGTCGCAATTATGCACTGTTGTAAAATATTACCTGTCTTTCATAGAAAATGCCGCGAAACTAAATCATTTATCAATTTAGTTCGGCTCAGAAGGCCACATTCACGACGAATTTCAATTCATCACCGCTTAATTTACATACGGAGTGTTAATACACTAATTAATTAATTGTGTTTGGTGGCAAAACCAATTTCCTCGTCGTCACCTCTGCTTGGTGGTTCGGTTCGATTGTAAAGCGCAATCCCGCCGGATCCCGATAAAAGGCGAACGCATGACGCCATTAGTTTCTCGAAATCGATAAGCATCCGAATTCGGATGCGTGTGCGAAACAAATCCTTCGGCGGGGCGAACATCAAAGGGCCGAGCGGCGGGATCGCCAGAATACTTTGACCTCCGAATTAGCATACCGCCGGCGCGGGGTCTCGAGAATCGCGGACGGAGGAAGGTCGCCGAGAATCGGCTAGATCCGCCAATGCCGCGCCTCTAGAATGTGGAATTGGGCATCGGCAACGGCCCGTCGGAGATGCGGCCATAGCCGAAATATCGCCACCATATTTATTACCTTTGTTCGGCGATGATTAAAGAGTGATATATTACACCACGGATCCTTTTATCTCATATATATAGGAAACTCATTGATTTATATTCCTTTTTAAAGACATACATACATATATAAAACAACTGTCCCGTGTTAAACTGCACGGAGGAAGCGTTGGTTTAGGGATTCTTGAAGATTCGATTCACACACAAGTTTTCAGCTTGGTCCGTGTCCGTAACTTCGTGTTTGTAAAGCCTGGCATTGATCCATAGGACATACAAGACGTTATTTTCGGAAATAAGCGTCTTATCGTATCCCTAACGCAGGCCTAAACCTCTGCCCATATCAACTTACCTACTTTCGTGTGTCTCTATTATTTTTGTTGTAATTTCATGTATGTTTTGTACTTGATAAGTATATAAATATCAGATAAGGAACACCGGGTGACATAGTAATGACGTCACGGTTGGCTGGGGGGGTCCGCCAGTTGTTTTCCGCCGCGGAGTCCAACTCAGCTACCCCCAATTAAGCGGGATGTATAATTTATATTTCAATGTGAGTACAACTGTTACAAAAAGTAACGGTATTAAAACATTAAGCAGGAGATGGTAATATATCATTAATACTTTGGTCGTTCTCAGTAGGTTTCTAATTCTATAGCTATGACAATTAAATTATGACAAAAGAATTCGTAGGTTCTACACTTTAACAAAGTACTTTAGAATCTTTCTAATAAGATTTTGTGTCAAAAAGTTACGAATCAGAATTGTACTTTTTAAAATACTGTACGACTAGCTTGAATTTGCCATTCAGCAGACTTAAGGAAAATTGCCTTTTCATAAAGTAAGACCTCTAAGTGTTGCTGTATTACGTAATAAAAAAACAATTTTAAAGTAATTTAAATTAAAAAAATTATGTAAAAAAAAATTGTACACAAAGTACGAAAAGATTTTCGCCGCTGTGAGAAGCGCACCCACCTCTACGGCATTCGCGGCCTTACGATTAAGCCACTAAGCTAAACGGCTGATTGCCGCACCGACGAAAATGTTAACGTCTTTTATCTACATTGTTTTTTAGCATTTGAAGCAGTGCTTGGCGCATCCATTGTGAAATTTGCGTACGTAAAACGTCCTTACACTACAGTAAGGGGACAGCGTTTTCGATGGGCAGACTACAATAGGTCTTTCTGGGTCGCCATGTTCGTTGGCACTTAATACTCAACCCCTTCGACGTTATACAAATACAAAATTTACAGTTACATATACCGAACACAAGACTGACGAAGTCCGCATACGCATAAAACCACCGCGATATAGAACAAAGGCTTCCCGAGAGGTGCCGACGCAAAAACGAGATCGGCTAAATGTTGGAAATAAAACACGGTAAAAAAAAAACCAATTTCCGAGAAGCGTTGACCGGCGTTGCCAATTATAATAAAATCGCTGTTCAATACCGCCAGCAGAAAGGTTAGCTTTTTAGCATATATTTAGTTGCGAGCGGAGACCATATGGGGGGCGTGTGAACGGACGAGTTAGACCAAGAGTTGTTGGATAAAAATAAAAATCTTAAAGTATGTTAAACATTATCTATCGGTGTATTATATTCGTGTCTCACTGCTAGACAAAGGCCTCCGTTTATTAATATTGGGCATAAAAATACTAAGAGTTTTAATTGAAAGAACTTTAAGAAGCTTATAAAAAACAGAAATACAAAGGGCCTATCGTTATGTGGAACTTTTACTTTTTTGGTTTAGAAGGCCCTAGAAGTGTTTAAGTTCTTTTCTAGACTGAACCGGTTCAATATTGAAATAAGGCTGAATGTAATGAGGCAATTTCGACTTTGACTGTGAACATTTAAAGGTTACACAGCTCGATCCATACCAACGTCGTGGGTTCGATTAATTTGATGCTCTCTATACTCGCTTTCGGAGGCGCGGTGTTTTTGTAGTTTATTTAATGCGATCGTCACAGCCGAGTGCGCTTTTACTCGACTTTAGAACAATCGGAGCCGATCACGCCGCGATCGGTTGTATTAATAAATCTCAAGGTGAGGGAGGCGCGCGTTTTTGTCTTATTCGCTTTTAAAACAGAATAATGACGCGTCAGGATCGATTTAAAAACGATTCAATATGGCCTGTGTAGGCTTACAGCACGTGGGGTCTCATTGGCAATTGATTCACAACACATTTAATTACTTGTAAAGCGGTTGACATCTTACGAGCGCGCCCTTTACTTGTTTTCTTTTTATTTAACCGCATTTGACTTTTTTTTTTAAATGCGTTTTATGCGTTGTCAAAAGTTATTCTGATTTATCTCTACGCAACGAAATTCGCGGAGCAAGTTCAAGTTCGTCGGACCGAAAAGCCACAACAACTTGTCGGCCTTTGAACTGCTTATGCTAAGTTTGTCGCTCGGAATATGTAATGAGAGCGAAATCTCCGTCGACCCATTTAAGTTACAGGTCGGCTCTAACATAATCAAAGCAAATAAGTTATTATAACATCATAAAAGCCAAATACAGACAGTAAGGATAGTTTTACAAGGTTACATACATTATTCAGACACTAATTGAAGGCGATATCCCATACACGCATTTTCTTCTCCAGTAAAAGTCATACATTTCGTCGCGAAATCCACCAGGGCAGCAGAGCCTTTCCGGCAAACTCGTCGCTGTCGTGTGTGGCGGAGTGGTAAAAACCCCGGCAGGTGCGACGGGCAGATGTCGACGCCGCCAGACGCGGCCGCTTCGTGGACTCGATACATAACGCATGCAACCGAACTCTGCGTTTCATGCCAACCTAGTAACTTAGTCGCGTGCTCATATAAAACTCGTTGATGTTTTAAAAAAAGCAAACCGTTAATGGAATTCATGACCGTGGACACATTTGGATAATTAACGTGTTGAACTTTCGGACTACGCATTTTTTGATGGGACAAGTTTTTTTTTCGTACTTGAAATTTTTGTTACGCACTGTGAACTAAAATAAGTAGGCTTGCTTTTACTATGCATCGCTGTCATCTGCTGGTATGTACTGGCCGGTGATCCGAACCTTGTTGCAAAAGGGAAATATCCTCTTTTTAAATTAGTGTTCTACATTAAAATTTGTAGAAATAGGAACGAAAAGTTTCTCGCCGCTGTGGGAATCGAACCCACGTCTTCGGGATTCGCGGCCTGACGTTCTAGCCACTAAGCTAAGCTAAATGGCTGATTGCCACACCAACGAAATTCTCAGTCCTTTATCTACATCAGTTTTCTTAGCTTGGCGCATCCATTATTATATCCTTTCCAGCACACAAACAATATCGAATATCGTTTGACAACGATAACGTTCTTCATTTCAATTGACTACGCTCAATTTATTTTATTCCGCAAGAGTAATCGTAGCCGTTGCAACGGAACAACACGCGTCCATAACCGCGGCCGTCGCGGGGACAATGCTGGCCGCAGTTGCACACACGCATGGAACGGTTGCAACGTGCCGTGTTCGTTTGGGAAAATCGAAAAACAAAACGTACTGCGTTTCCGGAGCGCCGCCTCGCAGATGGCGTCTTTCCGCCAGCTGCGCCGTCTCGGCCTAGCGTAACCACACGCTCCTGGTTGGGCTCCGTCATCCGAGACAGTGGATGTTCAATAATAATAATTTGAATAAAGAATTCGGAGATAAGATGCGACCCGAACTTACCCGTAACGAGGCATATTCGATGACTTTTAAAAAGAAAATCTCTTTCAATCATTTTGAATAAAGAACGCTTTTCAAAATTTGAATCAATACGAACCGAAGTTTCATAGTTGGAGGTACAGGTTCGATTAATTTAAAAGGAATGCATTTAAGATTAACGTACCGATATTAAAAGAGCTAACAAATTTTATATGTTATTTCCATTTCTATGCACTGCATCCCACAACAGCGAATGTTCCATCAAGTGAAAAATGTAAAAGTTCTAATACTTAAAATGTAGACTGATCCCAAAACACGTGCCATCTTTACAAATAGCATAAAAATATCTATATACATTAAATTAATAATAGTTTGCTAATGAAAAAAAATTTCTTTCTACTACATCTGACACAAAAATTAAACGTCTCAATTCAATTGAACATTTTCAGACTTGTAGTGTGCATTACACTACCTCTAACATAATTCTATCGATCACAAAGAGAAGTTGTTCCACTAGGTGGAGACATCATCTACATGAAAAAATTATTTTCTTATACAAATTGACTACTACCTATATGCTGGAAATAGCTATGACTGGTACATTGCAAGTGGTATTGGCCGTGCAACGTTATTTTGGCACGTAAAAAACCAACGACAAATCGGGAGTGAACACGCGACCATACAAGTCCCTATAAACAGTCCAGTTGGTAAACGAATCTAACTCGTCGATTTCGTTTATCATCGCAACGCGTTGTTTCTTTGTCTGCGAGCATCGTTAATGAGTTATCGTTTATCCTCTCATCGGACACTGGCAGTAAAGAGTTCGCTATTTGTTTTTAAAACGGACTATAAATAAGCACCAGCGCGCCGAACCGCCCCGCCGAAGGTGAACCTGTGCGGCTGGCGGGGACGCCTTTTGTTGGGCCTACGCGCAATCTATAAAACGACCTCCGATACTGGCAGGTGGCTTATGAGAGCTTTTCAACTTAAAAAAAAAAACGCACAAAATAATTAATGGCGCGTAATAATGTGCCAGCATGCGAGGCGAAAATCCCAAAGGCACGCACCGCTCCGGCAACCCGACACCGTCCATTGAACATTTTCACGAGGGAAATATCGGCTTACGGCGATCGCCCGCCACCCACTGTGCTAGCTCCTCGCGACGCATGCGCTCCTGGTACTCGCAAAAAAGATCGTACGCGAAAAAAAAAACTCCGATTTTTTTAATAGCGCACGACAAACTATCGTAACCCGATGCACTGGACTATTTCAGACGGTAAACAACCATATTCGGTTACCGTCCACCACTCGGCGAGTTCGCTAACCCCCCGTTGCAAATGTAAAAAATAACGCGGTGCACCATAAATCCAGTCCGACGCGAACGTTTAATTTATCGCTAATAGAGTGGAGCTGATAAGCCGCCAGGTACGTTTCGAGGCAGGTAGACTCTTCGCGGGATCTCAAAGGCCCGCGCTTTACGGGCCGGGCCTCGACTTTTTTTCGGTGGTCATTTCGACGGCCACAGTTACGTTTCGCGGCGGACCGCGTCCTTTGTTCCAGGCGTTAAGGAATCTCACAATTATGGATGCGAGTTTAGTGCCGATGCCTCTTTTGAGGGACACGGAATGCCGATTTCGTCAGGTAAAAGATGGAATCTATCTTGAAATTTTACACAATTGATGAATGTGGTTTGCTGACGTAACATGGGGTCTTTTATAGGCACTTTCATTCTTCTAAGTCGATGTTGATAACGTAATCTAAATTTACTTTTAAGAATTAACTATTTTATGTTTAGTACATCTCGAACTTCGACCTCGAAAGTGTTCACAATAAAAAAAAAAAGGAGAAAAGGAAACTTTTTTTTCTATAAAATAATTTAACTACGACTTGCGTAAAGTTATCCTCAATAAATTGTATTATCTGTGCCTAAAATTAATTTCAGTCGCGGTACGTGGCCGTAAAGAAAGCATTGCCGTCCTTGGTCAGATTAAAAGTAAAAACGACGCTCGGCGCGGGATTCTTGACCGTAAGCTATAAATTTCCGCTCATTGTGATAGAGACGATAACCCCGACGTCCGCGAGCGATTACTGGGACGCAATAAGTCAATAACGCAATGAATCATACAAGTCCAGGGCAATCTGCAAAAGTTACGGAACGAATACCTACATTGCTAAAATGAAAACAAACCACAGATTCTGAAAACATTTCATAACGTCAACTGACAAATACCATTCAACTCATCCCATTGAGTGGGTTAAAATGTTCATTTGAAAATCCAATGGGGGAACTATAACATAATTAGTTACTATAAATCTTTACGTATTTATTTAAAAATATCGGTGGTAAACAATTTTATTTGCATTTTGCACATAACTCAAGTTCGCGATAATTTCTGGGGTAGGCATATAGGATGCCAATTTATTGCCGCAAAAAAATAAACTTGTTCTTATTTATGATTATATATTATGCATATCATCTATAGGTCGCGTGGCGAACGCGAGGACGACTGGAAAATACATATAAATAAAAAATCCCGAGCAACTTTTATGTTATACAATTTAAAAAGACCCATTTGATGGTTGTGACCATTGAACATATGAATAGAGAGAGAGGGTTGTAAAATGGTCACAGCCTTTAGAATAAAAAATAAACTAAAAAAAGTATAACTGAAACTAGGTTCAGAGCAATTTGTCGTTAAACTGAAATAAGTTTTAAGTCTGTAACCACTACTAAGTGCCAAAAGTTAACCACACCTAATATGGAATTGTGACGTATAAATATCGTAATTAGTTTTTGCCCATGTACAAAAAGTTCACTTGATTGGCACTTCGTGTGAGAACCATTCATCATTTAAAACCCATGTACTAATTACACGTTAAATGGACTAAGACGTCGGTTTATTCGAGCTCAGTGGTTAAATAAACGTATTTAAATTCGATAAAAAATACAATGCATGAACATTTACCTTGCGTTTGTTTGGTAACGAAAGAGCGTACATACATTATGGCGAATTAAATGAGTTTTATGCAACAAGAAAGAAGAAACATTTACGTATAGAATAAAAAAAAGAAATGTCAAAAGCATACAGATTATACAAAAACGTCCCGTCTTACATACAGTACATATTAAAAATATTGCGATCTAAATCTTTTTAACTGATACCACTAATCCTTCTGTAGAAAAACAATAAAAACTAATGAGATATTTTCGAATTTTTATTTTTTTAATCGACGTCATCGGATCTTATAGGTGTTGCCGTTCGGAACGTTGGCTAAGCGAGCGGTTGTTCTTTCGCGGCTAATGCGGGCGACGGTTGGCCGCGGGTCACACGCGCCCAACAACGGAAAACGCAGCTGCCGCCCTTTTTAATGAAATTTCATTGAATAACGACGCGAGACGTTTGTAACGGGCCCACTAGTTGAACACGACTCAGCCCGCGGCCCCAATTCGCGGCTTGCTACTAAAAAGGCGGGAAACCTTGTAAATATTTCCCGCCAAATGGACGAGGAACGTTAAATCCTTTCATATTTGGCATTCGGGTAATAATTCGCGTGTTCTTAAGCCGGCAATCAGTTGATAATAAGAGAATAAATAAAAAAATATGTTCTGCGCGGCGCAGTTGACATATAAAATGAATCATTAACGTAATCAGATATATGTGCACAAGTCACGTAGCAAAAAAATAACCGAAAGTACAGCCTGATCGTATAATTTAAAACTCGACTATAGGAAGTTATTAAATACACGAGGAATTAAGTCGAGCTCACTGGATAAATCATTTCCTTTATCACAAAAAAAAATCAAAATCATTTATAATACGACGCCATTACCTGGCATAATGCCATAATGTACGACATACGTCAAACGCGATCAAAGCAACCACAAGTTTGCTCGTTAAATGTTTGACTAAAATTGATAGTTTAGAGCGGTGGTATTCAAATAAGACTTTTTGTACAACTGTCCTTCGCGCTTATTTCAGGAGCTGAATTTTTAACTGGCCCACGTCATGACCTGACCGAGTTTGGATTAAGCATATTAAAGTCGCATCAGCGGAGTTGCGAGCCGGCTAGGCTTATCTCCGCTGAGGTTGGGTGAAGTTTTATCAGACGCAACAAACAGCCTAGCGAAATTCGAGATAGTTTTCGTGTCCGAAATCATAACTGCTCTCTACCTACTTGCTAAGTCGTCCAGAATTTCATTCAATAGCAAATGTATTTGGTTAGAATAGTACGGATATCAAATTTGATTGTCATTCATTAATGCGCCTTAACTGTCTCTAAACGGTTATTCTGTAGAGATTTCTATCGATTGTTCGCGGCAAGGGTGACTAGGGTAGGCTACATTACATAGCTTAGTGTAAGTAAATGAAAGCTACAAGAAGTGCACAAATATCATAAAACTAAAAAGTTTTATAAAGATATAAATTTTGAAAATCATCAGTGTTTTTTTTTTCTTGACTCGAAACAAACTTCGAAACTTCATCAACAGACGCAGGTGAACTATTTACAAAAGCAACTAACTAGTTACCGAAACGTACTAACGAACGTTGCAAACACTAAAACGGGCACCTATGGAACCCGTTTGGGCCAAATAATAAGTTACACGGCACCAAAGGTGACGTTTAATTGTGAGACGGTGCTTTCGGCTTCGTGGGGTAAGACGGTTGACTTGGCAGGTGCTTGCGACGGTTAGCGGCAGATGTGGGGAGCGCGACGAGTATTATTATTCATGTAAATTACAACCTTCGTCGAAATGTTCGCTTTGTGACGCGTCGGCTACGGTGCGTCGGGGAAACGGCACGTGGGAAATGCAGGGACGCTGGGACGCTGGGACGCGTATAACTTATCAGTTTCACTGTCGTAGTTTTGTTGGTTAATTATCTTGCGGTCATAAAGACCTCTTGAAGGACACGTTGCGTAGCTTTCGATGATAAGATGTTTGTTGTGTTAGCATGATGTATACGTTCGTTGCACTCCAATAGGTATCACGTACGCACTCATAATTGGAATTAAATGATACGCTTGTAACTTGTTGACATACCCAATATCTCACGATGTAATGCCGGTCAACTGCACCGAACCATCACACTGAATGTAGCCGACTGTACCGTTTTTACCTCCGTCACGGCCAAGGTCGTATGCGGCCGCGCTAAGACCTTACTGAGCACTCGAGCAATTGTCGATTCGCAATTAAGAAGCGTCGCGTCGGCCGCGACACATGCGCGCCGACTAGAAAGGCCGCATTCTTAGCGGCCGGCGACATTTCGCGCATCTGCCCGCCCAGGACTTTGACTCCGCTTCATATCCTGCCATTAACCCCTCTCAGCCGACTCCGGAGAAAAACGAGCCCTTTTTTACGTCGACAGCAATAATGTAGTCCGCGACAGATGATCTCGCTCTAAGAAACGGCCGGCGCAGGCGCTTATTACGCGTCCGCGGTTGGATTGGATGAGTAAATCGAAATGGGAGCGAGCCCGATTCGCGGCGCCGGGCGACAGCGCGAGATGGATTGTCGTCAACATTAGTGCGGGAAGCATATCGACTTGTCGCCCCATAACGTCGCTGCCGGCCGCGTACGCTCTCGGCGGGCGTAGCGCTCGGTCACGTTCGGTGGAAACTGCACCCAATGTGGATTAGCATAAGACTCTAATCCGCATCCCCGCCCGCTGGCGCTTAAGACCCGACGGATGCGCGACGAATAATCACCCACGTCCACAAGTACCCGTCGCGAGACGTCCGACAATCGAATCGCGACTCAGATGCGAAAGGGCTCAAGGTCCACAATTAAACGGCAAAGCGGATTTCGCGCCGGATTATGGGCTTATTTGTGCTCGCGCGCCAATTAGGAAGTCGTTCATTAGGCTCCCTAAGTTTCGCAGACGTGGGGGTGCCGACGCGGCGTGACGTCACGCGGCTCCTTCGGCCACAGACCTGAGTCGAGGTACGGCGCGGCTAGATCGCGTCGAAACGAAAACAAAAAGTAGCCCCGTTTAAGAATGCTGCCACGCCATACAATATCAACAGGAGCGGGCGAGCGCTCCTTTCCCAGGCGTTGGCGCCACGGCGAGCGAAAGGGACGGCGGATGCACCTCGAAATAACCCCACGATTTCGTCGTAGTAGACGCAACCATAGATCCCATTTCCGAACGCACGATAAGGACGCAAGATGCGGTTAGCGGCGTCCCAGAATGCATCTGTCAGGGCGCAGAAAAAACAGGGCCCTGGAATTTCGGGACGTCTCCGCCCGGACCATATGCTCGTTTATTTTTTTCCCGTCCCGAGTGGGTTTCATTCAAAAATCGTCAACGGATAGAGGAGATTTGTGTAATCTTGTTAAAGTAATGGCAGTCGGCCGCTTAACAACCGATTTAGCGATTATTAAGAGCGTTTCTAAGTTCACTGTTGACGTTTATGGTCGGGCCGATGTCACAACTAGCTTTTGCCGCGCTTTACGGACTTCCTGTCGAGTTACAACGTAATTTATAACTGCTATTGTCCAAGTCGATGTTGCAGTATATGATTATTTGGTATAGATTTTGTGAGAATGGACTTTTTTTGTAGAGTCCATAGACAGTCGACACAAGGAGTCGCCGCTATAGGCTTCAGACACGACGACGTTGTTAACAACACAAAAGTCGTGGGAAACGCACTAGTGTTGCAGATTCGCTTTCAGCGCTCGATTTCCGCTCGCCGCGGCCGCAGCGCAGGAGGGGGCGCGCCGCGTGTACCAGGCGCGCAGAAGTGTGCAGGAGCCGAAGCCTTGACCCTGACTGCGGTGGCGTCGACCGGAACGCACGGCGGGCCGCCGCGCGAATCTCGCTATTCCCTCTCACCGCCCGGCCGGTGTTGGTCTCTTGGTACATTCCGCTCGCACGCGCGCTAGACTTATTTTCTCTTTCGTTAATAAATTTCACTAGTACATCCGATGAATGTTCTAGATAATTTCTATAAAAACATTAATTGGTTTACCTATTCGTCAAACGAATAGAACACGCTTCAAAGTTGCCACTATTGGAGTGTCAACCTCGTATTGAATGATTCAACATCCTGATTCATTTGACGGTTGCATAGTTACATTAAAAAAATACCTTTATTATAACTAATTTTTATCCAGGAGTCATGTATGTCATTAGTCTAACAATATATCAGTGGTTTTAGACTAGAAGCAAACGACTGAGTTTAATTTCTTTGTAATAATTATTGTATACGTGAGATCGATTGCAAGGTAGCGTCTCGTTTGTACGGCGTCAAAATCGAGAGTTGCCGTAGTGGAAAATGTGGAGAGCGCGATGAGTAGGGGGCGGGGAGAGGGGTTGGCAGTCAATGATGCGGAACCGGTCCTGGCGGTCGTCAGCGGAACCGGCTTGTGACTGACGGGGATGAATTGCCCGACGCGACGCTCCGGGGACTTTGTTATGGCCCACTTCGTGTTACGAATTGACAGGAGCTAAGTGACACGGCAGACAACTTCTGAACTGTTTTGAAGATTTCACCAAACGAATCACACTCTTAATGAAGCAAAATGAAGCAAACTTAATCCTTTTACTTACAATTCGCGTTCGCATCACAACTATTAATAGTACTAACTTATAATGCTTTCCGTATTTTAAAGAGATTCTGTTTTTAAATTCCCACGACCAATGGACAGACTGTCACGTTTTGTTTTACCGTTTATACAGTATTCGCGTGAAACGAGAACAAATAAACAACACTTCTTACAGAGACAAGAAAACACTCGTTTTCAATTGTTTCATTTTTAGGTATCTAACTGTTTAAACATTTGCTAGTTTTAGAATTGAAACGCATTGCGCATCCGGACTGCTATGAAGTAGAGATTGAAAGCTCCCACGTAAAAGCGCGTAAGGCTGGCGGCCGCCGAAATCGACGAGATTCGCGACGCTGCAGCACGCAACCACAAATCGATGCATCAAAGGCGCCGACAGGAGGTGAGATCGGAGCCCGAACAATCGTACATCGATATCGACACGCGCCGGCGGCCGGACGTGACGTCACCGCGTGTCCGCGCGTAAACTCGAGAATTTTAAACAACCTCCTTTTGGTATATTGCGTCGCCTACAACACATGTCACATCGCGCAAACAAAGCACACGCGAACCCACCACTTGAGAACGTTCAGAGGCGATACTACATCGTTATATGGACGTTACTACATTTTTGAGAGGAGTTTGAAATGCAAGTCCCCATTTAAATTCCGATAAAATTCTTCGTCCCGCGATGCACCTGCCTTCGGCACACAATGATATACGTTTCGTGCCGTGTGTGTGATCATCCGTTGTGCTATTTTTCCCTTTTTCAATAAACCATTCGAACCACAATTACATTGTCGGCTCGTTTCGTATCACTCTTGTTTTATTGCCGTCAATACGGATATTACTTGCAGAGGTGTTCGTAATTATCCAGCGGAGTACTATTAAAAAAAATGACAGTAATAAGTACGCCATTGAAACCGTGTTTATGAATAAGTCAGGCGTGGCAAATCGTTTTTATTTCGTCGTAGTGTGAATTTAATAGAAGCTTTTGGATAATCAGCCGTAGCGGCTTCAAAACATGATACTCCAGTCCGTTCCGCTATATTAAAGATTAAAATAACCAAACGAATCGCCATTTTTATTATTCTAATATTATTTTACATAATGTGTAGTTACATTATTATTTTTAAGTGTTCTATGTATCTATTGTGCTTAGACCGTGAATAAACGTTTCTTCTTCTTCTTCATTTTTAATAGAACTATATTATATTTCATTACTTTTAGCTCACTGCACGACTATTCTTGCAATATGAATTTTTCAGCTTGCTACTTTGTATGACGCTTATTACTTTATATAATTATTATATCAACGTGACTAGAGAATTCTTTACGCAAAATGAAATGACTTGTTCGTCTATATCTTTTAACATTTGATCGTCTACAGATCGAAGTCTAGGGTCTGAACAAAAGCGCACAGTGTAGCACAAAGGCTGGCGATGTAAAAAAACTCTATTCCAACGGCCATTCGTCGCGAATACAGTGAGCGTATGTCGAATAATGAACATAAAGGAATCGCAGAAGGCCGAGCGGATCATATTTGTGATTAAATCGAGACCAACTGATTCAGGAGAAGTGCGTATTGAATTTCTACCATTCTACCATCCTACCGTTCCGCCATTCCGCCATTCCGCCGTCCCTTTGTGAACTGGTTAGGCAGCGACGACAAAAACGAACGCCTGAAGACGTCCGCGACGCGTTTTGCTCGTTTTGGCGCAAGGCAAATGGCGATTTCAGACAAAAGCGAAACCAGATTGCGTAGTCAGCTACCTTGGACCATTTTATTAGTCTGCCCATTGATTTAAAGGCCTTTCTTGATAACTAGCGTCGGCAAAGGGGGAGCCAACAAACAGCGTGCAAAAGGACTAGATAAGGACAAACAGCCAGTAAGCTAGTAAATGGTTGGGGAAAATGTATGTATGGAACGTGTAAAATGGATTACCGAAATGTCTGCAACTCTAGGCAACAAGCGTGCGCGTTTTATCATTGGACTAGCGACACGCCCTGGCTTCGCACGGGCGCAATGTTTTATACATATAAACCGTCCTCTTGAAATACTCTATCTAGTAAAAAGAAAACGCACAGGATTCGCTGCGTAGTTTTAAAATTCTACGCATACATAAGGACAGACAAACAGCGGGACGACTTTGTTTTATACTATGTAGTGATATCTCTATATATTAATATAGGTACTATATACTAGAAAATTTAATGCAAACTCATCATTCAGTTTTAACAGCTCACTACACAATTGTTGCCGAAATACAGACGATAACAGAATTGTCGAGTAGTTTTGAATAATACGAGGGGAGCGTTACCACTGCAACTTAAAGGCCAATATATTTTAACTGCAAAATTGCCAATTACTATTAAATTAAACGTCGACTCGCAACATCTAGAAACTTCGCAAACATTTCGCCGAAAGCTTATCACGCGCACCCGAAGCATTTCTGCTTGTGTTGCCATAACTTGCGTTCGAAGGCCGCCCTCGGAACATCTTGTTATTGTACAAAGTTATTCGAATAACACCGAATCCTTGAGAGTTCCAGTAAAAACATAATATTGTGATGAATGTAAGTCATTTATTGGCGCCATTACAAGTAATACGCCATAATAAGACCTCTCCCCACCGAGCACATATGCCAGTTGCCGTAGATAATTGTCGGGGCAACACTCCACGTGTAATTTTCGCAGTATTTGCAATAAAGTTCTCAATTTGTTAAATGGGCCTTACACGGCTTTCGGTTTGATACTACTTTGTAGGTCGCAATTTAAATATGAATTCCCATATATGTTGTTTTATGTTTCCCTGATAATTTGTTGCAAGTACTTCGCAGCCAAAACTGAGCACGATGTCTAATGGAATGACTTAAAATACTTTTCCTGGCGATCAAGTCCGCTGCCGTACCAAATAAACTGTGGAGTCGAACCACGGTTAATTCCCGCCGGTGAACGAAAAAAGCGAACTGCATGCCGTCGCGGCTAAAACATCCGAACGAACCGACCTAAATATAACGACGTAACCCACATAATACGAAACGCTCGCCTTTACCACCTTGTCGCTGTAAAGGGCGGCGAAATGCGGCGGGGTTCCTCGACCGGGCGCGCCGCTCGGTATTAAGACAAGGTTGCAAGTGTGCGGGCGGATTTTTTGCTCGGCCTTTACGAGCCCCGGCTGCAAACGCAACGGCATGTACCACGATATAGTCCACTATAATTGTGTGTTATTGTTCTTCGCTATGGGAAAGCTTTCCGACGGAATGCGCCTCTCGTGTTGTGCGCACTCCTCTCACAAATACCTCTAGGGCATCGCTGTGCTCCCAGTACCTTGTTCCTGATCAAATTGTAGCTCGGTTCGCGTGTCTTCATTACAAATACTTTATTTAATTATTAATGTAATAAGATTGTTTGCTAATTTGTTTTGAATGTCGAACAGTAAAAAAATTTGAAGTTACACTTCTTCAGTGCGTTTGGGAAAAAACATGAGAGTAAAATTTTTACGAAGCTCGCACACCGACATCCAAGAACATAGCGACATAATGAAGTTGTTTGCAACGTGACCAACTTCACGGTATTACCATGACAACCAATAATAACTTTATAACATTATAAAACCGTTATCAATTTCATTTAATGTCTTTTTCACAAACAATGAGTACTGGCATAGTTGATAAAATATTTAGTTGTTTTTCTTTTGTTATGATAAAGATGTATAACTTACGTGTGTACATAAGTACACACTGAGTGATGGTTAGTTCCCGATGTAGTCGGGTCAGTTATGACCAAACAGATCGGTGTTCCGCAATCTAGATAGATAACCAGCTCCATTAGGAAGGTGACGTTGGTTGCCTCAGATGCCATTGAGGAGTGGCACTCCAATTCACACGTCGCTTATGTGATCCTGGTATCGCCCAAGACAAAAAAGGTATCAATGCAAGTTGAGATTGTCTTAAAGCGCGTGCAAAAGGTGTTGTATTTTAAATTAATTTTGTGTAAAATTATGCGAACATTCGAGAACTTGTATTATTTTTGTTCTTGGGACAATTTCAAAATTAATCACAGATTAATCGAATTAATTTTGCTTACTGTTGGCATATAAAAGTGTAAAAATCTCTTACTACACTTGTACGCCATGTTTTGATTGCAATTAGCTTATCTCGTCCGCATAACTAGACTTAAGCGTCTAGTTTAGTTTTTAAAAGAAAGTTTTATATCAATATATTTGAAATGTGCACGCGAATTGTAAAGAGTACACGTTATGCGTACTCATTACGTCGCTTGTAAGGCGTAGTTAGTTTTACGAGTCGCCTGTGACAGAGTTACTCTGTATATTGACCCCGTGGAGCCCGCCCTCCCTCAACGTGAGCCATAAACATACTCGGTGTTTGCATGTGTGGAGCGTTTCGTGCGGCGGACTATAACAAACACCAGAGAATGGATTTATACATCGCGGGATCCTATCATCTTTACGTATTGCACAGTTTTCAAATTAATAAAATCATTTTATTATATCAACAAGTATGTATCGGTTCTTTTTCATCTACGTATTCAGAAAACTCCAACTCAAATATGCCGTAGGGTATTTAATAAGTGTGTGTTAATGTTAGTTAAGTAATACTTGACATATTTTAATGTGGTCGATAAATTATTATTTGATAGACGAACAACAAGTTTTGAACTGACGTCAAATAAAACGGCGGGAAATTAGTATGTATTATGTCAAAAAATTAACGGACCACAGATTATATTATGTTAGGGATGCGAAATGAAAGTTTAATTTCATCGCGTGCGTACTCATCATCGTTGAATCTACTCGAGTCGACAACAATGGGAGTCGCACCCGACTGTACCCGCGCGTGACGAACGGATGGCTCAATTCGAAGATATCCCGAAATTTATTCACGACGCCTACTAAACTAATTACCTATTTCGTGTGTTTCGTATGGAGCAGGCACTCGTGGCGGCTAGCGGCGGCAATATCTATGCTCGGCAGGGTTGCCAACTTAGAAAAGTTTAATTTTTTCAAGTTCATAAAATATTTTCAAGTTCGGGTCATACGTCATTTACTAGGAGAGGCCTATATGCAGCAGTGGACAACCAAACTTATGATGTGAAAAAATATTTCGATATATTAAATACAAGATCTCGGTAATAATAATGCAACTAAATAGTTATTCCAAGGCACAGAAGTAGTATCGACGAGTTATATCATCATGTTGTTTTATTGTATATATGATATTGCATTTGTTATTTATCTCTTAAAAGCAAGATGCACCTAATTATTTAATTAAATATTTAGTTAAACAAAATGTCTGCTTTTCATCGTAAAATGTAGCTACAGCATATAATAACGTAAATTTAACCCCGTTCTTGCACTATCATCGCGATATTTTATCATTTAATTTTTTTAAGTAAATTTTTAGCAACCCTATTTCGAAATTGACTATGCGTGGCCTTCATTATTTTGATACTCTAAGTGTAAGTCGTATTGTCGGGACTGACGCCAGAACCAGATAAGCGACGAATAAAAATTAATTATACGATAAACTTCTCTCGTAGTAAATTAATACAAACTAAGCCGGTTTTAAGTCTTATGTTATTTAAAAACAAGGCAACTAAATGTAATCGACTAAACAACACAAATATTTTGTCTAGGTGCAGCAAAACAAAATATTAGCATACTGATTCATACCTTCGAGTACTACACTACAGACGTAAAAGTGCTTTCGTGAAAATTTACACTACAAGACTACCTACCGCAACAATTCCTTCAACAAAAACACGCCGTGCAATATAATTAAATATCAAATTTTGAACACAACGCTATCCCTGGAGCGCGATAATGAGATATTCTCGGAGACGAGAAAAAAGTAAACCGAATAGGCTTTTTTTGCAAATCCGGTGCACATTTTGAGAAATTAGTCTCAGATAAGGCTCGCTCCGTAGCGCGCTTTGTCGGAATTTTTTACGCAACCCTCGGCCGAAGAACAGCAACCCTCGGGGGATCGTTTTTTGTCGAATCCTACCTCTTAATTAGATCCGATGCTTTCCTTTCAACCGATTCGAAATGGTATCTACCCACCACTCGGCGCTCGAACAGTATCGAATCGAACTTTCAAGGTACTCATTAACTACATAAATCGAGCGCCTATTTAATGTCCAATATAACTTTTTTGAGGCAACTAAATGCATTATCTAGGGGTTACATGCTCCAAGTGATGTATGGGATCGCAACACCGTCGCGCAATCTACGAGGGTAAACAAACAAAATGCGATCGCGGGTCGTGTCGCCGCGGGATCGAACATAACCTATCCGAGCCGGCGCGACACGTGCGCCCTTATGTAAGGGTGGCGAGGGCGCAGCCAGACGTCAAAGGCGACAGATAACGTACCTTGTCTGCCGACGATCTCCGCCACATGCTCCGAGGAGGGCACCGGCACGCACTCGGTCATGTTCTGCGACTTCTTCGCGCGGTCGTCCGGCGGCGGCGCGAACCCGATGGGGCTCGACAGCGGATTCGGCGTCGGCAGCGTCTCGCCCAGGCTCAGCATGCTCAGCTCGAGGGCGAGCTGGAACGCGCGCTGGTCTTCCACCAGCCCGCCGCCGCCCAGCTCGCCGAACAGGCTCGACGGCATCTCCACTTGGGAAGCAATCTTGACGGCTTGCGAGAGGTCGCCCCCTCGTTCCACTCGAGACTTGGGTGAGTTGATTCGTGTGGCGCGTTCGATCGTTCTCAGGCGCCGCGCTTTGTCATGTACGCACACGTGTTGTGTTGTCGCGGCGCGGCGGTGGACTGAGTCGCCGGCCGGCGGGCGCACGCGCCCGGCGTGGCGGCGAGTGGGGCGTCGCGGGGGCGCGGTGGGCGGGGTGTGGGGGGGGGGGTCTAAGCACAGCGGTGGCGGGGTGGCGTAGCCGGCGGGCGGCGGGGGGGCGGAGGGGGCGACGCGACTGCAATAAGGCGGGATGCGACGCAGCTTCCGCCCGCCCTGGCCGTAGCGCCCCGCCGCAGGTACTCACGCACGGCGTAACTCGCAATCGCCTACGCCGCGCCGCGTGTATGTCTCTCGTGGCGGACGACTGAAAGTTGCCTCTGTTACTTACAGCGCGGTTCTGTCGATGTCGTAACAGCTCAACTTCGAGTGACATTAATATGGATACGATCATTGAGCCATAAAACTATGTCCTATGATGCTTACTAGCATCAACTGTTATATGTAATTCTTACGTCTATAGAAATTTAATGCATCAATTTCAGTCTCTATTTAATTTTTATTGTTTCAACACATTGCAATATTTTTTTTAAATAAATGATTTATGTGATGTAACTCATCAAACAACGTACGTTCATACAATAAAATTCAAAGTTATTGTCGTAAACAAATCAGTACCTTTCAAATACCTCATGTGATAGTAATAATTAAGCCTTTATTTTTATATTCTATTCAAAGTTTACACAATTTTTGTACCACATGGGTACAACAACAATTATGTAGTAGGGTCTCGCAACAGCTTCTGTCCTCCTGCACCAACGAAGACCTGCTTGAAACCAACTCTGCTGCGATGGATGTGGCCAAATATTGGTCGAACAAGATCTAACTAGCTATTTTGACTCGAAAAGAAGAAGAAGAGGATATCTCTCTCCTTCCCTTTTTATTTCACTCTTTTTTAGTTAACTCGATGAACCCTCACAAGTGGTATGTTTTTCATGTTACTTGAATTTTTGTTGCTATATTCTTTTTATTTCTCTTCATGTGCATCCTTATCCATTGACAATTCGTTTGGTTAAATTTCGTCGTAAAAGTCGCCTGTGTTTTACCAATATTTGAATAACATTTTTGTTTTTTTCTTTTTCAGTGTACAATAAAGTATATTATTGTTATTCGAATCTATGCCTTTCGAAGTACCGACGCGTCCAAACGCCATAGACACAGCTATGCGTTCGACGCAATGCGGACGGCGCAAGTACGAATCCATGCGGCCAAAAAACTAAAAATTTTGCGACAGTTTTACTCACGCATTTCTAAGTTTCGTCTTAGTTTTGCAGAGTAGTATAGCAATAAAAGTTAAATGTGAGTAATTCCCACCGCTTGTACATACATGCCTCGCGCACACATTTATATCATAGTAAGCCGATCGTCGCACAACGGCGTCTATGTAGATACTGTATACGTCGAATTTTAAAAAGAAAATAATTTATTTTTTATTTATTTATAATTTATTGCAATTACCTTAATCAAGGATTACAAAGGGCGAGCTTAATGCCTTTAGGCATTCTTTCTAAGTCAAGCCGGTGTGGTGGTAAATAGTGGTAGGTGCAATAAAAAAGAATGCAACAAGAGATGTGTTGTGAAATTGCGTAAAAACAGAATTGTATCTCAGAAAATAATAACATATCAGAGTGATTGTAACATTTGATCACTCATACATAGATCGTACGAAGCTCCACTGCCGATAGAGTGGCACGGAGTCCTGTTATTTTCAGTCCGTTATATCTGATATAAGTGAGTTTATTCATATTACATAGCATTGGCAATCTCTGTTCACCCCGTCATTAAACATAGACTCTTCTTCAAGAGGAGAGTTTTCCAATGTTAATTTTGCATAAGAGAGTACAAGTTTCAATTAAACTCACATTAAAAAGGCCCGTCTCACCATTTTCAATACCCATTAATTATCTCGTGTAAATTCTAGAGTTAAATAATTTCACTTCGCCTCCCTCGAATCCCTAGGCCGCCGTCGGTTTACCCTGACCATTATCCAGCCCTCTTCAGGCAGATGTGAAAAGGTCCTTTATTTCAGCCGCTCATGAATACTAGACCTAACAAAAAGTCTAGACACTCATTCATCGCCGTACGCGGCGAGCCCGTATGTATCTTTCAGTATTTACGCGAATGTCTATTTAAGAACGCACTTCTTTATTCATATCTCACGGTTCAAGATCAGAAGATAAAGAACTTAGCTTTGCCTTTTTAAATATAAAGGGAAGATGTACTGCAGTGGCACTATTAAGATGTACTTTAAAGCGGTTTTTAAAAGATAGAATGGATTGCTTTGAGCAGTGTCCTCTTTCAATCGTTTTAAACTAAAGACCAAGTCATTCTCTTTACTTAAATTATATGATAAATCGTCACTGAACAGTGGACAGATGTTTTTCGCCTTCGTAACCCAGCAGATAAGTAATATGGGAAAAGTTGTGTGAGATAACCGCAGCTCTGGGATCGGATTTGTGTCCTTGTAATTATGAAGATATTTTATTGAAATCTTTGAGTTTGAGAAACCGTCGGCGACCCGTGTAGTGAGTAGTGTACCCGCCACCTGCGCCAGAGAGTGTGGGTTCGATCCCCATTGCTGGAAGAATATTGTATGATGAACATTAACATAGTGTTTATCTAGTGTCTGGGTGTTTATATATATATTTATTTACATAGGAAAATGTTTACAGGCGTTGCTTAGTTTGGGACCAGATAACGTTGTGTAAAAATGTGTCCCAAATCGTTTATTTATTATTTATAAACGTAAGTAACGATTGATATGGTAAACCAATTGACTGAAAATACTACAAATGGCTGTACAGGAGAACGACCGAAGGATTACGGTCTGGAGAACTAAAGTGTCAGTGTCCCTCGTCTTATTACGTTTAAGACTGCGTGAAGTCAGTGAAACATAGCTATCCTTGCACGTTCACGTTAACACATGAGAACTAGAATCTTCGCTCGATACAGAAGATTTTTTTTTTTTATGTGAAAAGTTGCCAAACGAGCAGACGGTTCACCTGATGGTAAATACCGCCGCCATGGTCATCTGCTACACTCGAGGGTTACAGATGTGTTGACGACCTTTTGAAAATTGGACTCCGGCTACCTCACTCACCAGACGAAACGCGAAAGTATTTATCATACTTCCACTTTACGCTGGTCTTCTGTGAGGTCGTGGTACTTACCCGGACGGGCCTGCCTATTCGTGCAACAGCCGAGACTGCTGCGTGGCCCTACCACCGTAAAGATATCGTAAGTCGTAGCTTTTTTCTAATAATAATAACTTTATATCATATTACAGATCCATAATTACAACAAGCTACATCTATATATATAAATATTAATCCCTATTTCCCTTGGTCACGCCATCATGCGTGAACGGCTGGACCGATTTCACTTTTTTTTTTGCGTTTGTTATTATCAGAAGGTTCTTATGAAAGAAAAAAAAAAAATTACGCGGAAAATTAGAAAATTTAAGAATACTTAACAACCATATAATATTATCTCTTATTTATCTTTAGCTTATATACGCGCAAGAAAAAAAAACAAGAATATTGTATATCATAAAGCATTAGAATAATAAATACACTTTTTTTTAATAACTATACCAATTCGAATAAAATAGTCATCGTTAAGACAGGAGGACAACGTCTGTCGTGTCAGCCAGTTAACAATAAAAACTGAAATAACTTATTTACTTTAAATTTTAACTAGTTGTAATTTCAAGAGTTATTATAATTTCAAAATCTGAACATTTTTCTAGGATCTTAAAATTGGACGCTCAAATCACAAGACTATGCGAGCCGTTGTTCTAATACAGCGCTTACAACAAAGTGGGACACTTTGTTGTAAGCGCTGTATTAGAACAACGGCTTACAACAAAGTGGGACACTTTGTTGTAAGTTCATGCCCATGGGCGGGGGTTATCACGTAAGGTGAACCACCAGCTCGCTTGCCATCTTCTGACATAGAAAAAAAGAGTTGTTTCAAAGCTTAATTTATTCTATTACGGGAAACATTCACCCTTTGTCTGTCTCGACAAGGTCTCGCTGTGACCTAAAAAGCTTTTATAGTACACTGACGTGTTTAGCGTATACTTAAAATTCTAAGCTATTCCATTTTAACCGAGAAATATAGGTACGTAAATAATTAAAAAAAAAACCGAGCTTTATTCAGCGTTGCTCGCATGAGCTCGTGCTCAATCGGAAGTTTCCTTTGAATTTTAGTAATTTGAATAGAAAATAAATGACTACAGCGTTTAGTTTACGGCTTTAAAAAGTAGAAATTTCCTAATGAAACAATTAACTTGTTATTTGTTTGATGACGAAATTTAATAACCCAATAATACTAAAGATTGTTGTATGATGTTGATGTGGGCATTGCACAGTTAAATGTTAATTAACTAAGTGTAATCGTTTAAATCAATGTTGATTTAATAGCTTTTTATAGGGATCGGATATGTATTTATATATCCGTATCCAAAGGGTAAAACAGGACCCTATTATTAAGACTCCGCTGTCCGTCTGTCACCAAGCTGTATCTCATGAATGTGATCGGCAGTTGAAATTTTCACAGATGATGAATTTCTCTTGCCGCTATAACAACAAATACTATATAAAAAAAATTATTTAAGTGGGGCTCCCAGACAATAGATGATTTTTGCCGTTTATAAGATAATGAATCGTACGGAACGATTTTTATTTTTTATTGAAAAGTGTTATATTTAGGTTTTTTGCAATGTTATTGTATGGAAAGATGCCGGAGAAAATAATTGCGTAATAATAATTGCGGACTGCGGACTTAAGGTTACGAAATAAGGGGCTCGCACAAGTGAGAAAATGATAGCCTTTTTAAAATAATAAGACCTCATTAAACCTTCACGGCTTTTACATATAACGGGTTCACAGGGTCTATCGACTTTTGATTCACATTTGTGCAGCAAAATATAATTATGAACCGATTATTTAACGTAAACTGAGAAATATATGTAACAAAACACATTTTTTCGAGTTATCTACATTTTTTAATGACAACTAGAAATGTGATTATATCTTAGTTTCAAATTAAAATGCAGTGTTTGATATTTTACTGTAAAATAAAGCGATTAATTTTGGACAGACTCGTGTATGAATAACAGTTTTCGTTTAAATAATTCACTATATAACTTTTAACATAAATATATTTGTTTTTTTTAATAACGCTTTTTAATAACGTTTGATGCTGTAAACCTATAATTTGGATTTGTGGTTGTACTTAATTACGTGTAAAGTTATCTGTTAACGTTAAACAAATAATATAAAATGCACATTCATTTTCTAGGTATCCATCCACGCTGGCTTCGGGCACAAATTACACTGGCCCAAATGAAGACGAGCCTCGCAGGTACGACCTTGCACTTGCTAATTAGGCTGTTGGTTATTTAACGTACATTAATATAAAGTTACGGCTTGCACGACCCCGGGAGAGCGAGAGAATTTTCCGACATAACGTGGTGGGAATAAAATTTAAAAATGGAGCGAATGGGCAGGTCTGTCCGGGGAAGTACCACGACCTCAAAGAAGACCGGCGTGAAGTGGATGTGTTATACTCCCGCGTTTCGGTTGGTCAGTGAGATAGCCGGAGTTCACTCTATTAAAAGGTGGCAACACATCTGCAAACCTACGGACGTTGAAAAGTAAATGGGCGGGGGTTATCACTTAATATCAGGTGAACTGCCTCGTTTGCCACCATCTCACATAAAAAAGAGGGACAAAGAATAATTTCCTTCATAACGATTCATTGTAATATTTATCCAGTAGTGGGGATCGAACCAACACCCTCTGGCGCAGGGGGTAGCTACACTACCCACTACGCCATTCGGGTCTACTAAGTTGGTTATCTTGGTTAGTATGAAGTTGGTTATCTTAAACTAATTAATCGTTCAAATTCCTAATTCAATTTCATACCTGACCACCCATTGAGGAACGACGTCACAGTATATTCCCCGGTTCCAATATATTGCAGCGACAGTGCGTTAACGGCGTATTACTACTAGGAGCGCAGGATGCTGCGAGGCTTGATTGAATTTCACCGTTGTATTATCTTTCATAGCGCACATCCTTTTCGAGTCGCCCGGTGGCGTTAAGACAATAAGATCGAGGTCAAGTTATAATTTTCGATACGAAACAATCATCGCGGACTGTCACGTTTATTTGTGGCAACTAATAGGTACTTTCGATTATTATTCTCGCGGAATGTAGCGTTTCTTATTGATGTGACGTCAA